GTGATAACACGGTAATTCTTCTCCATTTGTCATACGTTGTACATTTACTACTGCGTGACTTTGTATAGAAGCTCAGTAAATTATACCTGAAGAATAACTTTGTGGAAGATGTTGGATCACAACACTTGGGCAATGCTCTACGAAAGAATCGAGTAAGTGTTATTGTCTTTCCATTTATCATGCACATTTTCTAACAGACATTTGAGATATTTGATTCTGCAAATAGTCAGTTTGGAACTGTCGGTATTCAATATTTGGCTGATGCTTTACAGGAAAATACAGTAAATTTCATCATCGATTCGTTCTGTTCTACATTGCACTAATTGTTTTTGTACATGTAGACACTTCTTCGACTTCATTTTGAAGAAAATGACGTGGGCGATCTCGAAGCACAATATTTGGCTAATATTTTACATGCCAATAGAGTAATTATTTATCTTCTCTCATACTTTGCTCGTGTAGACACTCACTATTCTAGATCTGAGAAATTGTCAAATCCAAGATAAATGAGTACAACATTTTGCTGGTGCATTACATATGAATACGGTACTTCATCCTTCCTTTCGTTCATCAATCTACAATTTCCTCTTGTAGACGCTTAACACATTCTTGATCGGGTCGAATCCTTTTGGTCACCACGGAGCACACCGGCTAGCCGATGCTCTATGCAACAATCTGGTAACTTACATTCTCTGTCTGTCCGAAAAATGTTCTAGCTTTCCATACTGTTTTCTCTACATAGAAACTCATTCGACTTGATCTTCGTAATATTATGACGAATGATAACGTTCGCAAACAAATCAGAAACAATATTGAACGAAACAAAAGGTTGAACAAGTACAGCTTGAGATCATTTCTAGAGGGAAACAGGGAACAGTGGGATTTTTAGTGGTTGTGAAAAACATATATAGTTCAACATATTTTAATAAATCGAAGAACTGCGCACAGTCATTGTTTTAGAACTGAAATTGTTTGCCTTTCATTCTATTCTTTTCTCCGAGATTTTCCAAGATCGTTTTCCAATCAGCCATCATTAAAAATGAATATGCTAACTTGTATATCGGAACTATCGTCAAACATCTTTCGTAAAAACTTTTAAAAGTTGACTTTCTCTTCTCGGATGTTTTTTTATTTCTTCATGAATGATTGACGTCAGAGAATCTTTGATTTTATTTACTGATTCTATCGATCTATGATGTTTGCGTTGGTTGCAGACGGTACATCGAACGATAGGTGTAAATTTATCTTTCTCATTCTTTGTTCGACTGAAAATTTGTCATTTCCGTACTTTTCTTATCAGATTCGCTTGCAACATCACATAGATCAAGTCGGAGTTGCAAAAAGATGCTATCACTTGATAGTTTCTTTTTGAGCATCATCATTCTGCTGGTTGATAAACGAGTCGAAGGTAATGTTTCCAACTGAGCTTTTACACGTATTCATTTTCCTCGAATAGGCACATCTATTAATCAGCCCAAGCTTTGCCCTGCTGCAACCAGTAGTACGATTGGTTCATATCCATATGCAGTCTTTATTGATCAAAACAATAAGATCTACGTGACCAATCAACAAATGAGTTCTGTTCAAGTATGGATCAACGACTCTTCGCTTCCAAAAACAATTGCTATTCGAAATAATAATTATCCAATAAGTCTGTTTGTTACAGATGATGGTACTATTTATGTCGATGACAATAACAATTATGTGACCAGTTGGCTGCTAAATAAAACAGGCAATCAATCGTCATTATATACGGGTGAAACATGCTATGGTCTTTTTATTGACAAAAACAATTCACTGTACTGTTCCTTATCTGATAATCATATAGTCATCACACGATCATTGAATAGAAGTGATAATCAAACAGCAATTGTTGCAGGTAGTAATTGCTTTGGATTTTTGGGTAATAGTCTATATTATCCCAGGGGAATAATTGTTGATACAAATTACAGTCTATGTGTAGCTGATTGCCAAAATCATCGAGTTCAACTTTTTCGTTTGGGAGCCGGAAATACAACGACAATTGCTGGTTGGGGGCCACCTGTAACAATCACATTATATTACCCTAGTATATTTTAGGATCCAGTTCTTACGGCTTTCGCAATGTGTAATTGGATGCACTGGCTCGAGTGGTTCAGCAGCTAATCAACTGTCTTATTCATGGACTATGGCTTTTGATATATATGGAAATATTTTTGTTGCTGATAGTAACAATAACCGCATCCAGAAATTTAGTCTGGCTACCAACTCATGTGGTGAGCTCGAAGCTCATACAGTGACAAAAAGCATTACTATATGTCACTTAATAGAATCTGAGAGAAGACATATCTGAAATAAATAAGTGTACTTTTCAACTCAACACAACAAACACCCAAACNACTGTCTTATTCATGGACTATGGCTTTTGATATATATGGAAATATTTTTGTTGCTGATAGTAACAATAACCGCATCCAGAAATTTAGTCTGGCTACCAACTCATGTGGTGAGTTCGAAGCTCATACAGTGACAAAAAGCATTACTATATGTCACTTAATAGAATCTGAGAGAAGACATATCTGAAATAAATAAGTGTACTTTTCAACTCAACACAACAAACACCCAAACCATTTCACTTCGAGTAAGTGTCCCTTTCGATTCTCTTCTGTCACTTCCTTGCATTCTTCTTGTCAGCCAATGATCGAACCACTTGCATCTGCCCAGCTCCATTTCATTTTCAATTCTCGATACAAATAGCAACTGACAATCAGAAGGTGTACTTGTATGTTTCTACCACGGCATTTCTATCCCATACGTATGACCATTTCTCTGTCTCATCAGCAAACACGATGTTTATTCACACATTTAACAACACTACGCCGACTTCACTCGCAATAAAACTATCTACATCACACTTATTTGTGTGTCTATTCTCTATCTCCTTTTACTTGTTTATGCACGCTACAAAGACAAGAAAGATCTCGAGAAGTTCGGTGTTACTCCACTTCCTGATAATCAACTATCCGATCAGTATTTCTATCAAATACTTATCTTTACTGGTCATCAGACATATTCGGGTATCAACTACAAAGTAAGACTGATTTTCTTCCTCTTATACAAATGACGAGCAGGCTCATTTCATCCTTGCTGGTGACGATGATGAAACACAAGTTCGAACATTAGCTGATCCTCACCGAAAGATCTTGTAACGAGGTGGTATCAAGGCATTTGTTATGACTGTTCCCAAGTGTGCTTCCACCTATTTCTTCTCTATATAGATAAATATATCTGATTTAGATCGTTGGGTTCATTGAACTACATACATATTTGGCATGATAACTCTGGCAAAGGTGCATCAGCAGCGTGGTTTCTCAAATACATCACTGTTAGAGATCTGCAAACGTTAGACAAGTCATATTTCATTTGTCATCGATGGTTAGCGGTCGAGTATTGCTAGTCGCAGGTGAACATCAACGACAAGAGTTCTCCTATTTGCTATCCAAGCAGGCATACCATAGCGTGGCGGAGGGTCATCTCTGGTTTTCGATCTTTTCACGACCAAGTTGCAGCAGCTAAAGCAAGTGTCAATACAGCAAGTCTTGCATTTGGCCCACTTCATATCACTCCTGAACAGGTGACTCTTTTTTCCTTGTTGATTTCATTACCATCACATACGTGATGTTTTGTATTTTATTATTTAGATTAGCACTGGTATCATTGTTGAACTGCTCTCGATTCTTTCATGGCATCGAACCCAAACGGTTCCATCAGCAGCTGTTTCCTTTACGACAGGCTGTGTACAAGATCAATCCAAGTGACGCGATAACTGAGACAAGCCGAGAGAAACGACCACGAATGACGTTTCCATGGTGGTGTCTGTTCATAGCTTATGCGCTTTCACTTATTATTGTTGCAGTGTCGATGTTCTTCGTTATTGTTCGTGGGATAGAAAACTCAGAAATGGTTGACATCACTTCTCGCTGGTTTCTTTTCATCCATCTTTCTCATTCAACCAGCCAAAGTAAGCTCTCATTTTAGCTACTCATCTGAATGCAATCTCGAATTTCTTAGATCATTGGTGTAGCGATCATCTTTGCTTTATTCATACGAAACACAAACAATGATCAACAAGCATTCTATGAAGTTCGACACCTTCGACAATTCTTTCATAGCACCAAACAAGTCAACAATGACTACACACAAGTATCTACACCCTCAAGATCAATATTGGAATTGGCTACAGAATAGTTTTGCGAACCATATTCGTGCACAGCAATGGAATCGCTTGATCGGATGGATTACAATGAGACAACTCAGAGTCAAATCACACTCATACCAGCTCAAATTAACAATCAATCTCAACCATTTAGTTCAGCCGTTGAACAAGTATTTACATATCGAACAGACGATCAACTCGATACGTATTCCGTTGTTGGTAATCATCACACATATGGGTGGTGATGGATATGTTTATGAATTTCGTGGTCGATTCAGTGATCTTCAAACAAATCTCTCTCGACTCCATCGATTACAATGGGTTGATAGTCTTCACTTCGTTGTTTCAACTGATATGTACAATTGTCTTCATGACATTTGTTATTCTATTCTATCTGCTGTTTGTGTCCAAATTATCGTCATGTTCTAGTGTTCTGCAAACAGTACGAATGTTATTCGAAATCACCTTAATGATAGTTTTCGAGTGGTGCGAGATATGAGATCGAAATACTACGATCCAATCGATCGTTTTCCTGACAAGATGCGTCAATTATTGGATGCATTGAATCGAGTATGTCGATGTGAACGAACGTGTTAGTATGACTGCTGTGTTTATAGGTATTTATGAATCAAAAACCAGTTGATGTTGTGAATGTGATTATCGGTATACATATGTTAATCCTTCTAAATTGCTTACTGTATGATCTTTTTCACTTCCTTATATCAAAATAAAACGTGACATGACATTTTTGAATGACTTTCACGACGAATAGTTTATTCATGATTAAAAAAGTAATCGGAATCGAAAATGTTTATTGACGATTTTGAATGTGATTGAGTATTTTAAGCGCTGGACCAATTTTAAAACCCATTTCTTTCACTAGAATGTCGCGTGTTAAAAGAATAAGCGCCTTTCCATCGATTTTCTAAATAAAAGAATTTATGTAAGTGAGTTCACTAGAATATGAATACAAACTTCTCGAAGAAAACGACATGCAATCCCATCGAATGATGGATCGATGCCTATGATAAACCTGGCGACATCATCTACTGTAAATTGCTCGAGACGGCGATTGTCTAAGCAAGAAAATGATTCATATAGACCTAATGGATACTTCACTTACCCATTGATGGTATTTCACTATCTATTTTATATTTTATATTTTCGCAAAACATACGTTCAATTTCATCTCGGGATAAGTTCGCGTGATTACTATTGAAATCCAATTGATTTTGATTTCCAGAGACTTTATCCACCGCTGATACTACCAACAGACCACCGCCGTTAATATCAAATGTTACTTCTATTTGTGGTTCACCACGAGGTGCTGGTGGAATATCCGAAAGTTGAAAACTTCCAAGAAAACGATTATCTCTTGCCATAGGATGTTCACCTTCGAAAACTTTCACATCAAATGTCATCTGATTGTCTTCAGTTGTTGAAAACTGTTGTGTTGATTTTGTTGGAATTGTTGTGCAGCGTTTAACCATTATTTCCATAAGACCGTTAGCTGTTTCAATACCCTACGATAAACAGAATTAAAGATTCTTGAAACATCACACCTCGGTTTCAATCGAAACTAACCAATGGATGCGGTGCAACGTCCAGTACTAATGAATTCTGGATTTTTTCCGATTCATTGCTCGTCAGAATAGCGGCTTCTATAGCAGCACCACAAACAACAGCTTCATCCGGATTAACTGATTGATTGAGTTGTTTTCCATTAAAAAAGTCGCTGAGTAGTTTTTGAATTCTCGGTATTTGCGTTGAAGCACCAACGAGAACTATTTCGTGAATTTGTACTTTGTCCACTTTGGCATCATGCAACGCTTTCTCAACTGTTACAAGTGTTGAACGAAATAGATCAGCATTAATTTCTTCGAAGCGAGTGCGAGATACATTTATACTGAAATCGATGTCATTATACAGAGCATCGATTTCAATGGAAGCCATTGCAAAAGTTGATAACGTACGCTAAACGAAAAGTTAAGAACAAGACGATAATGAAAAAACGTCAACTCAAATTCACTTACTTTAGCATTTTCACAAGCTAGTCGTAAACGACTAAGGGCACGCTTGTCATTTGATACATCGACATTATTTTTTATGCGAAACTCTTCAATACAAAGTCTCATCATTCGATCCGTGAAATCTTCTCCACCTAAATGAGAATCACCTGCTACCGATTTCACCTCAATAAATCCACAGTTGGGAGTAAAGATTGATACATTTAATGCGCCACCGCCGAGATCGAAAACAAGAATATTCTTTTCATCAGACTCGGTGTTGTAGGAATTGTATGCCAGAGCAGCAGCTGATGTTTCATGCATGACACGTAATACACTAAGACCAGCGATAATTCCAGCATCTCGAGTTGCACGCCGTTGAGTATCAGTGAAAGATACCGGAACGGTAAGAACAGCTTGAGAAATTTCCCTTCCAAGATATTTCTCTGCATTTTCTTTCATCTTTCTGAGTATCATTGAGGAAATCTCTTCGGGTGAAAATATTTTGATTTCGTTTTTGAATCGCACCTGTATTTTTAATCTATCTTCATATTTAACAATGTCAAATGGCCAAGTCTTTTTGTAAGCCTCTATACTTGGGTCATTAAATTCTCTTCCTATTAATCGTTTGACATAGAAAATCGTATTTTTCGGCTCAATCCATGATAGAGTTTTGACTGCATCACTAACTATACATCCGTTGTCAGTGAATGCAACGCATGAGGATGTTGATCGATGTCCATTTTCATCCGGAATAATTTTCACTTGATCATTTTCGTAGATGGCAACGCGCGAATGCACGGTTCCTAAGTCTATACCAATTGCTACTTCGGCCATACCGGTTCTCTTCTCTAAAAAACAAAGATCTCCAAAGACAAATAACATTCCACCATTCTACTGGAGAGAAAAAAAAGAACGTGTTTTACACGAACGCACACATACATCCCCAGGTAAGAAAAATATTTCTCGACTATGTTTACCACTATTGGTGAAATAAATACTCGTGGAATTATTTCTTCAAATGTAACTATAGTATCAATGAAAGAGAGAGAGAGAGATTTATAAATTTTCAGAAATAAGTGACGATGAGCTGCTCACAGATGAATCTATACAAAAGACACACCATGGATATAGAGGCACTACGTTTAAGATATGTGAATACAGGTTGTAAAATCTTACATTCAAAAACTTCTTCTATACCTTTCTGATTACTATACGTATATAAATGGTAGAAACAACAAATCGATCTTTTTTCTCTTCATTCTCTTCAACTGCAAAATGTTTATAACCTAGAATACGATAAACTCAAAACATACATGCAAAGACTATAAAACAAATCACAACGAAGTAAATCACTATGACCAAAGTCATATCGGTTTGATATTCCTCACAGAAAATTCTTAGAATGTCGAAAGATGTCACCCATTAACATGAAGAGTTCGAATCATTCTTGTCATCCTCTGCCATGATGTTCCTTCAGTCTTCTAACGATCGTTGACATCTTTGTATAAATATATTTTCTTGTTGTGAACCAACGAACTCGAACCGTACTGTTTCTGTCATCTGTAACCAATGGATAGTGGAAAGATCACAACATCTACTCAAGAATCATCGAAAGAAACAAAACAAAACGTGGTTATTGTTATAATCGATCAAGATGGCAACAAACAATTGTTAACTGAATGTTTTGAATCATTGCAGAAGGAATTATGTGGTCAACACCATATGGAACGATGTGCGTCATTTGACATTGCATTCGATTACATCAAACAACTCAATGAAAATTCAATTGTTATTCTCATCATTGTTGGACGTTCGTATGAGAAACTTCAAGATGCCATGTCAAAGATCGATTCACTGCCAGGAACAGTACGCAACTGTTTTATTTATTCAACTGAACGTGAACATACCGATAAACCTACAACGATCTCAACTCAATACATCTTCGGCAAACGTCAGTTACTCTCAGCTGTTCGTGATGTATTCGATGCGCTTGATTCGTCACCTGTTCACATTCATTCTGATGAGTACACATCGGTGACAGTACATGAAAGTACGTTCAATAAACTATTTCAAGCAATGAAATCGATTAGTTTTAAATTTCTTGGCTTTACAATAAAGATCTCGGAAATGAAAGCGATTTTATCACCGTCGATATTTCAATTCAAAGCTTTAGCCGAACTCATCGGTGCGCTAGATATGCTTCCACATATTAAACAAAATGTGCATGGTGAATGTGAATTAGCTTTGGATGAACACACCGGCAAACTTTTACTTCAGATAAAAAAACTTATCATCGAACTGCCGAAACTGTTCGGATTCGGCGGTGGTTCTACGGATGTTGGCAGTTACATTCCTCCGATTCCATTGAAAGGATTCATTAATTTTACACATCCATTCGATTTACCACATATGTGTGAAACAAGACAATTTATGATCATTCCGCGAAACTCGCGATTCTTTGTTGAAGATAAACGTGCAACGCTTTCCGTACAGATCGACTATGCAGAAACATCTACCGATAAAAAATAATTGTTGTTCACTATTTTTCTGATATTATTTATCTCAGCTAGAAAAAATATAATAATCTCGCCATGAGTATAACTTTCTTGACACGTTTTGATTATTGTAGTTGATATAGTCTGGTTTGATCTGGAGAGTGTGAATGAGCGACACTCTCTATTCATTGTACTGGAATGGTTTGGATCGTTGTTCGAGACGTTTGTTCACAATATCAAAAGCAAAGTTTAAACGAATGCAATGCAACAATGATCATATAGTGTAAGAGTATTTTTTTGGGATAGATTTCAATAAAGACTAATTATTTTACGATATTCCTGTTTATAAACTACCGATGATAAAACAAAGGAAATAAGATATCCTGAAATCGCTATTCAATTTCATACAATCAGGCGGAAATCTAATGAGTGAACATGGAATAGCAAGAAGCATCAAAACAATTGAGTCAATAAGAGATACAGTAAACAGAAAACTATTGGTAATATAACCCATCGAACGGATAGAAGTTGGATATTCTACAATATACAATAATTGCTTTTCACTGCTCTTTTTCATCATAGAAACTTCGATGTTCTATTTAGTCGGTGCAGTTAACCATTGGTCTATTGTTAAACTCAATCGTAGGAGAAAATCAATGAAAATACACAGAATTTTTAGAAGAACTTCATTTTCAATGAAACCACTTTGTGAACAAATAAAAATCTCAAATATTGACACGAAGATTATCATTAAGAATAGAATAATCAATATACTGAAAATCTCACTTATTATTATAGTATAGCGCGTGATGGTTGATAAGAAGATTCTTATTTGAACGAGCATGAAACGTAATTATAGTATCAAGTGAAATGCTAACTTCTTGTTTATGATTTCATCTTCACACCTCAATACGCATTTGTTTCTCAAGTACTCGACACATAACGATTGCAACCAAAAAAACATGAAAATCGAGTCGTAGAATCTGCTTCTGATCATCTTTGATCATATCAGCAAAGGTTTCGATTATTCAAATCATCAAAATATTGTTTCACACGATATAAAGGGACTCAAGTTGATCAGACGATGAACGGGCAAAAGTGAGTGAAGTGTTGGTTTAAAACAACTGATTCTGATTATTCAAAATTCGGCAGCCGTTTTTTCTCGTATCGAACGCTGACGTAATACTAGACGAACCAGACGTTTAAAAACATGTTTAAGTCGAGTATTTCCATCTACACATATTTGACCTGGAAAATGCCGTCGTTTCGATTGTTCTTCAAAAGCAGAAAGTATTTGCTGGCGCAATTTAACACTTGGAATAGTCAGCACCAATGTTTCTTTCTTATCGTTGACCATAATGTTTTTTCCAAAAACAGTTATTATAATAACTAGTTTATCGATGAGAATGTGTCTTCCTCTCTAATAGACACATCGTCATAATAAAGATAAGCTGATAATATTGTAATTAAGCGAAGCATTCGCAAAATGTTCGATGTATTTATTAAAATTTGGCCAGTAATTTACTTGCAGTCAGATGTGAGTAATGCAAAATTACAATACCTCTTATTTATTTTTCTTTTAATATACGCTTTTCGATTCGACTAAGTCTTCAAAGACAAATACTTAAAATACTGCAGACGCGCCCGGAATAACAAAAACCGATATCCTTCAGAAAACTCTGCCTACTTCTTTATCGATTAAGTTTGTGATCTTCCTCATATGATTTTTCAATTCCTGATGTAAACTTGAGTGTATATAAACGCTGTGTAGAGTTTTATCACATATTACATATCCACTCTGAAAATGTACGGGGTAGTCTCGTTGTCCACCACAATGGTATAGCTTCTAAATCTATCTAGTTTTTTTCTGATAAAACATATCATCTTTATTCATATGTCATTCAACGCGTAGTTTGACGCACAATAAAAGTATGCGCCACTCTCTTGAAAGTGCATCCACAGTAACTTATAATGGTAACCGGTAAGGATTGGACTAGCGATTTTTGAAACAAAAAAGATAGTTTTGCTTCGAAATTTTCAGAAGTAGGTTTAAAACGATGGAGAATTTAATAGAGATACTTTCGCAATTCATACAAGATCCACAGAACATCTCTGGGAGATCATATAGGTACTGTAAATAAAGAGGTGGGAAAAGAAGTGATGGGCTTTGGGATTGTTACCCAGTTTTAGAATTAGAAGCTAAACAATTTGTCTTTGAAGAACGTGCAAAAAAGAAGGCATCTTTCATAGCGGCAAATTTAGCTAGATTTGTTGATGATTGTTTCTATGAATTGAATGATTTGAAGAAAATTGATGACCGATTTATTGGATCAATTGAAAGTTGCAAGTTAGACCTTCGTTGATTTAATGCTAAATTTACAACAAATGCAAGTCGTCCATATTTTTGAGGCCATGAGCGAGAAGGTGTGGTCAAATACAGAGAACAATTTGTTAAGTATTTTGCTCAAAATGAACACCATTGCTACAATGGAAAATTCCAGCATATGATCCAGTAATCCTAATCTGTATGTGTTCTTTTTCTATTTTTAGTAGGCCACGACAACAGTGCCTATAAATCTGGTAAAATAATATCCAAAAGATTGACTATTTCTGAAAACGCATCTTTTCACAACAAGGGCAAGGAACGTTTATTTTATCTCGAAACGGAAAAATAGTCCTCTCGCCGCTCCTTCACACTTTCACACGTACGTATATACAAGAAAGATATCGCTTATAACACATTAGATTCAAATACTTCACAGTTTTCTTTAATAAAAGGGGAAATCCATCCGGCTGAAAATCACGAAATGGATGGTCAGGAGTAATTGGGAATGAAGGTAAGTTGTTGTTCACGCAAAAAAACACACTTCGATTACTCATCGTTCGCTTTACAGAGTGATGTTTACTCCCATCGATATTGAATATTTGTACTTGATGTTTAAAATGAATGATATGGTTATCCAAAATGGTGTGACTTTGTTTAGATTGATACGATTCTTAGATGATCATATTTTCGACATCGAAATACGACTTTTTATTCTTGTAGATGAGTTTTCGAAAGATAATCTTCGCTTTTAACGAGTTGTGTTGTTCTGTCTGAAGGTTTGAAGGGGACGACCCGTTTGGTTCTGTTGAATCGGTTCAACGCGGCGAATAAAATGGTGAAAACACAACTTAGTGAAACAAAATTGACGCATTTCTTTGAAAGTGAATAAAACGATCGTTGAACTAAATGTGTAATTGAGATAAACAATATACGTTGTTATTGCATCGATATAAACTGAATAAGTTAAATTGAGAATTGTTTGAAAAAAGTCATAGAGAACCCAAGGTGACCATGTTAACAGAAACCAAAGAAGAAATAAATTCAGAGAATAAAGAAGTCGACGATGAGCTCGACCTCCGGGTTGACGTCGTCGTTGATCGCTGTGAATATACTTTCGATATAGCATTAAACCAATTACTAATAAACACATTGTTAAAATAAGGAAATACGGAACAAATGTGATCAATAAATCAAATAATTCATAAATATCTCTTGAATACCAAAGATCACATGTTTGAGTGGCAGATGGATCGTCGAGATCAATGGTCGATGCACCATTCTGCATGATTATTGGATAATAAAGCGAAGGAAAAACAATGGCAACGAATAAACTCAAATAATGAAGAGAAATTGCAAATGAAAAGCGTTGATGACGAGTTCGATGAAAAATAAAAGGTTTTACAATTAAAAGTAAACGTTCAATAGAAAGTTGAGCCGTCAGAAAATCGTTAATTTGCGTCGGAATATAATCCAGATAAACTGACAATTGGCATAGAGCACTTCCAGCAAGTGGCAAACAACCACGATAGTAATAAAAATAAATTCGAATAGGTCCTTGAACGAACGAGAGAAGAACTTGTGCTAAACAACTTAACAGAAGCGCGTGATTAGTTATATCAAAGACTTTTTTCGCACGGCAAATCAATGTAATGACAAAAATAAGATTCAAGATAATTCCAGACGGAACTGTAAAGCAACTGAGAAAAAATAAAACACGGTACATTGGAACGAGATCATAACCAAGATCATCAATTAAATCGCATTGAATTGTAGGAAATTTCGTATCATTATTTGAATCCATATTGACAAGTAAGAATAAAGTTCATGAAAACCTCCCCAACATTGCTCTGATTACACGATGTTCTCTTTATAAGAAATGCGTTGTAATTATAAAACACAGATTGTATCTTTTGGCGTATAATAATAACTTTGAAGGGGAATTATCAGGAGGAGTTAGAAAAGTGCATTCTGTTTACGACAGTGAACAATCTTAAACACGTCCCATGACAACCGGTAACTTTTCCGTCATTATCATCTTCGAAAAAGTATTTATAACTTGACGATAAAACTTCGAAGTCATTTTGAGAAAAGCAAATGCGTGATATTTTTCTAATAATTTATAAATTGAAACTTTGTGAGATGCTGATGAGATAGCGTAGCTTTTCGTCAAACATCACACAGCATTTCCTTGCAATCAACAGTTGCTGTCAGTTCATGTGAAAACATGTTTAGACATGACTCGTGTCTAAACCGTGTTTTTTTTCATATTGTGTTTAATTCAGCCGGAACTGTCATTTTCATCCGTGATTGCATCGTGTAATTATCTTTTATTCTTGAAAAAAATTATTTTCTTTTCTCTTTCATAATGTCATACAATCCCTTCGCCTCACTTATGAACGAACTAGGTTGAATGAAGAGATGTTTCAAGTGGATAAATCTAAAACTTGAGTTCATGTCGATTTGTTTGACGAAAAATAATGCTTCTGGAAAAACTGAAGCTTCCGCTTCATCTTCATATTCAGGAATACACGTTTACTTGTCGAATATTTTCCCTAAATTGACCGCTTGTTCAGTTCGTTTTGGAAAACGAAATATCATCAAAGTTTTTCGTTTATCATCACCAGATGTTGACGCTTCAGTAAATGATTGTGGCACTTTTCGTTCTGATGAAGTCGAACAGAACGTTTTTCTTCAGCGATCATTGATAACGACAAAGATTTTCTGTAGTCAATTTTAGACCACGATAGAATGGCATTTGCAAAGTATATAATCGAAAGTAAAAACAGGGGATTTTCTTCTTTGAATGCTCTTTGGACTAATATCTCCGACTTTGCCTTCTCTTCATGAACAGTAGGGATAAGATCGCGCAGTTGCTTTTTAAGATACTTTTTGTATATGAACAAAGATTCTGTATTTATATGAAGTACGCAACCAACTGTCGATTAGGCGAGCATTTTACCAGTGCCTTGATCATTTCTCACTTTGTTTAAATCTTCCGATGTTCCATGTTCTTTTAAATAACCATCCTTTTCAAAATCTTCATCTAATGTTGGCATCATTGTAGGACGTTACGATGAATCATTTGACGATCCAATAGCTTATCTAGCTGGTATTTATCCTATCTAGGCAGCTGTTGGTGATTCCAATAATGATTCGCAACTGGGCATCGTTGTTGTCAGCGTTGGAAGTAAATATGTGAATGTTCGTTTTGGATACCTTAATTGTAATTTTATGCTACAACGATACTCACAAATGGCGACAATCCACGGCCATGAGTACTTGTTGTCGTTGATTTAAATAGTAATAATTACATGGATGTCGTTGTAGCGAATTCTAGAACGCATTCATAATATGGGTATCTTTATTCGATATGGTAACATCTCTTTTGCAAATCAAATTTTGTATTCAACTGGTAAAGATTCATCTCCGTACTCTATAGATTTTAATAATTTCAATAGATATATATATCTAGGCACACCCACAGCCATAAGTGGACTCGACGAAAAAATCGACAAAATAAAGGAGTTATTTTTTATATTTTATTTATAGAAACTGCATTGTGTGTAATACATCATCTCAATAATTAATATGGCCGCATTCTCTTTGAACTAATAACGGTATTCTATTTTCGCATAGAGGGTGCCAATTTTCTAGCAAATTAAGTAAATAAGCTTTTCCATTCTATTTTTATTCTTCTGCAGGAATTGTTTGACTGATGGTAGTGGTCGATTGTTTATTTTGAGCTTCATTAATAACCGAACATTTTCTATTGGATTACAGTCGAGAGGTTGCGAGGGTTATGGTAATGACTCTATAGAGTTGTTACTCTTGAATCGTTTACTAAATTTTGAAGTGTGCTTCGGATCATTATCTTCTCGTAGTAGTTTCCAATCACAGGTATTATCACCAAATCATTTGTTTACTGATAGGAATAGTCCATTCTTGTAAATTTTGCACATAAATGCTGAATTCAACGTTTTTTTGAAAAAAGTCAATTTCCCAAATCCCTCAGGTCAAACAATCCGGCCGGGAACCGGTCAGTTGCGGGACGTTCCGGAGATTTCATGAAAGCAGTATCTTGCACGTATTTACCGGAAATAAGCAGAATTCTGCTTCCAGGAACCATCGTCTTAGGAAACGTGTTTCTTGAAATTTCATCCTTTAGACGATCGAAACATCCGAATATTAAGATTTTGCTATTGGTTGCCATCGGAGCCCGTTGTCTGGATCTGAATACTGTGATGAACATGTACATTCGGCATATTCTCAACAAACAGAACTCGTACCAACGAGTGTATTCTATTACATAATGACAAACGTCGATTATCATATCAACGATTGTCGTGTAACACAAAGAAATCGAAGCCGGAAGCCTGCGTATCTCAGTGTTACAGAACATTTGGCATCATTATATATGTTTTTAATTGCAATATTCTGCTAGTTGTCTACGAAATAATGCGATCGAAAACGGCGAAAGAAATTTTAGTCGGCATGTGTGACATAATCAGAATTTCAAGTAACAAAATGAAATTGCCAATTCATGGTTGCCGAAAACCTTTGTGTATGACGACTATTGTCATGTTATTAAACATATCATGGAAAATTATCCTAGTACTTTTCGTGCAACACCTGCATCGACATTTCTGTACAATTCATCGCTATCAATAGATGCTTATCATTACTGTAATCGTGTTGATAAATGGTACAAGGAACACCTCAGTCCTGATAAAAATGATATTGTAAAGCGGTATAATACACAGTCGGCTGAAAAGATTCATCAATCAATTTAGTCGATTTGACAATGCGCATTGCTCGCTATTTCTCTCGTTGATGTTGCATGTTCGAAACTGTAAAGAAAGAAATTTGAATCCATTTCAACCGAACATAAGAACTTCTTTCCACTCAATTCAAATATGTTTTAGTCGTTGTTATGATTTAAAAACTTTCGCTTTAAACATTCCTGTACATTACTATACATTTATATTGATGACATGTAAAGAATACAGTTGTTAGTTATTTTTCAGATATGAACTCTAAAAGGCAAACAAAAAAAACGCGCCAATATAGACAACGCTTCTGAGCAAGAAAATGAAAATCACGTCAATAGCGAGATCAGTGTCGCACAGGCTTTTATAGAAGAGATAACAGTTGTTCTTCGGCAAGAAGAGTTGTTGAAATAAATATTTTTTCTCAATGGTGCTCATGAATTTTTTTTGTTATCTGTCAAATTGGATTCATATTCACTTTGAAAACTTCATAGAATTATAATAAAAAACCACTCTCGTATTGATAAGTAACATCTTTTGGTGAAATTCGAACTCTGATCTGTTTGAATCATTGTACAACATTGCGTATTAGTAAATTAATGCAGAGACTAATCATTTCATGCTTAAAGACAGCTCATACAAGGCGTATATTTGATGTAACACTTCATTATCACGTACGTCATATTACGCGCCATAACATCTACAAAAGAATCTAGAAGATGTTACCTGTAACACAAGGGTTGAGTCTAGATATAGCTTTATTCTTTTGCTAACAGATTTGAAAGCTTTTCGCTTACAAACTGCTCAATAACACGTTTTTCTTTGTGCATTTAGAGCTTCAGAGCATTGATGAAAACACTGGGACAATTGAACAACCGTCTCAGTCTCTTTCATCTCTTGCCGACAATGAACACCATCAAATGAACGAGGGTTTCCATTGTGATTCGACCATTATATAATCTTATTAAAGGTTCGTATAGGTCTAGCCGTAAATGGAAGAATTCGAATTGATTTCTTGAAACGTATGTTTAGAACACTGAAGAAAGCTGTAACCTACCACGAGAAGAAAATTCGCATGATGTAAGTGTATTTATTTGTCGGCTGAGTTTTATCTGATCTTCATGCAGATTCTATCACCATCGAATGAGGAAATGATTAACAATAAACCAATTTACAATGTTCATCGCGAGCGAAAAGGATCGTAGAAATCGTATCCAGACGCCGACTGTTCTGATGAAATTCCTGGGATCAGCAAATCACTAATATTCTCTCATGGGTAAAATGACACGAATGTGAACTCCTCAACAATCTCACGAGATGATTCTAGTCACGGTTTACTTCCACCATTTACTCAATTCGGAAAAACTTCCGCTCTCATCCTAAATATTAAAGTAAGAAAAAGAATAGATTTATCTCTTCTACAACTATGATATTTTCAGCATACATGATTCCCGAACCGCAGCCCCTTACGCACCAGGATACAGAAAATACCCCTTCCGACGCATCACAACTGATTATACCGTCTCAGCTTACACCTGAACAGCGGCTAAATCTAGCGTAGGCTCATCTTTCGTCCACGTACGATCTTCGCATTGACCTTCATGCATTCTTCCCGATCCATCAACTCCAACTACAACAACACTCTATTGAAGATAATGAAGGCCAACACATTGATCTGCCAGACGAATCTCAAACAGCACCGACTGCGTTCGTCACCAGAACTAACGATCCCAATGACACAAACAGTTCCTCGTTGACAACAGCATTCTACGCCGTTATTCTTCCTTACAAAACCATTCCTCGACATAATAATCAATCAACCATCTCGAATTCCGACTCATATCAAAACTAATGCGTACAGCAGGGTAGCACTCGACTCACGAATTCAACCATGCCAAGCATTCTTCTCTATCTTCATCTCTTTAACCTCACCGTATACAGCTCTATGACCAATCCATAAAACTGCTATAATTTCCATTGCCTTGATCACTCTCTTGCTTTCGTTCATTGCGAAAACTACTAATGACGATCGAAATTTCGGAAAGCGTCCATGTTTCGTCGGCGTTGGTTCGATAGGACTCGGAGGAGGCTTATGTTTTTTCGGAAATTGCAGAAAATTTCTTTTTTTTTAGAAATACGAATACTGCTGCCTGTATGAGGGATCTACAGAAATAAAATTTCCCAACTATCATTGCTGTATTAGCTGAGATATAGAAAGATGACTAAAACCTCGCGTTAAGTCATCATACGTTTTTAGTATGTGAGAAACGAAATTATAAGTGTATTTTTTGAATAGCTTTTGATAGAAATTATCTTCAGATCTCGAGTTTCCGCCGTTGTAAAGAGGAAATGAAGGCGCACTGATCCTTTTTCTTAGAAATCCGTCGGATAATTGACTTACATAGTCAATTATAAATGCAAATGCCATGAATATCACTTTTATTCGCTTTAATCGTAATTGAAATATTGTCAGTCGTAGAAAATCTTGTGTGATATTTTTTGACTATTTTCTTTTGTAACATACGAAAGGAGCATTTTCTGAGGACGATATTTTCAGTGATATATCACTACGAGTTGCAGATAAAACAATGAAAAACTCAGCTCAATTTGCTCTCGTTTACAAGTGTTACTACGACAAGAAAAACGTAAAATCTCGTGTGACACTATAGATTGACTTAAGATGGCACACATAGTATTTGGAAAAAAAGTGATATCTATTGTGATAAAGCAACTAACCTGCATCATACTCATAACATATATACTATACACTATAAATGTCATCAATTGCTCAAATTGAAATGACAAAAAACTGATAAATTCTGGTTTATTTTCTATCCGTTAGGAATCCCTCAAATCAGTTATCACAATCTTGCGGATAGCGTACTTCGAGATAGGCTAATGATAACTGTCTGATTTTCTGTGTGATAGTATGCATCAATCATAGTAACATACTCAAAAATTTTCGTAAAGATTAGCTGAGGGGAGCTGGAGTTAATTATGTTTTCCTGTTGGAGCTAACGAACGGTACAATAACTTTGCAATTTATCTATATATAAGAAAGATGTCGCCGATAACATCATCTCTATATGCGTGAACGTTAACAAAGTTTTTGTTCAAATCTGTGCTTCGCTTGAAAAGAGTCAAAGTATCAACAAGATGCCACCTAGAGTAGATTTAAAACATCTTAGTATTATAGTATACTGAGAATGAGAAGATGAGCGCATAACTCAAGTCAAGCAATGTGCTCTCTACCATTATTCCACACAATAGCATCTGAAAGGCTAATCTGATATATTTTTTGCAGTACACCTAGCTTTCGAATAAAATCCGAACTTACCGCATTTATTAATTACAAAATGAAACTCGAAAAAAAGCCATTGAATGACTTGTATTTCTTTCACATTCGTAATGTTTATTATAACAGAAGGTAAGGGTGAAAACCAATCCTCGAAAAGTATCAAAAAGAAGAAAAGGGAAACACAGCTGTTCTACTTATCTATTTAAAGATAATGTCATATGAACTGTACAAGTCTTTTGAGTCTATGCTATTTGGTAGATACAAATTGCATTAATCTGTATCGTGGTTATCGTCAATGATTGATGTAAGATTTTCTTCAGTTCATTGCTTTAAAATATTACTAGCGATCTATCTGTTTTCCTACAGTGATGTATGTAAAACGGTACTTCTTAATGTTTCATCTTTTAATAAAGTAACCAAAGAGGTAATTGGCATAGACATCAAATAGATAAACTCTATTGATACGTATATGTCATGAAGGATGTGTACTGTTAAAAATTTATCTCCGTACTATGGTAGCCCATTTTACAAAAATATATCTGAAAGTAGAATACTACTCCATCGATTTTGATTTAGTTTGTTTTCTTTCGAAAGAATAAAACTAGAGGATAAATCAAAATGGAACTACGAATATAATGATAGCAGAAAAAAAGGTAAAATGTTATATTTAGTCATTTTTAAATGGATCAATTGACTTTTGCTTTTTGCTTAATTAATTTCGATTTCAATTTATGACAACACATACGACAGCAGCAATACGGTAACAATAGTAATGGAGCAACAATGACGATAATAGTCAAGAGAACAAGAGTATATAGAATAACTGATTGTTTGTAACTTGGTTGATTAAATATTAAATGTTGATATCCAAATTCTAAAAATTCTTCAATAATAGTCGCTGCTCGAGTCGTACCACCAGCAGAACGAAATAATCTTGCAATTCGATGTGCATCTGCATAAAAATGATTTAATCTTTTAAAATCATTTGGATTTAAATATGTTACATTATTATCAGCGATGTTAACAGTAATATTTTCTAATAATAGTGATATTTGTTCTTGTAATAATGTTAAATTCATATGCCATCCAAAATGCATTAATCCACCTCCAGCTTTTTGTACGCGTAAACCATTATCCGCATGATCCATGTATGATGTTAATGGTATAATTAACATTGGTTTATTGAATATTAACGATTCTGCAATGCTATTGAAACCTCCATGAGAAAGAAATAAAATAACGTTCGGATGCTTTAATATTTCAATTTGCGGTAAATAAGATGCATAACGAACATTTAATAATTGACTTATATTTGCCTTTTCTAACAAATGTTGGTATGGTTTATCTAAAGACCATAAATATCTTAATGATTTATTTTGTTTTTCCAATGCTCTATGTATAGTTTGAATTTGTTCGAAATTAGGAGGTGTAGCCGTTCCAAAACTAATGTAAATAACATTTGTTGCTTGATCTAACCATAATTGGAGGTCGTTTGGTAGATTCTTTTTATCAAAATTTGCTCGAAAATATGGACCAATTGGAAAATGAGATGGTAAAATTGGATGTGCAAAATCTAAACCAATTGGTGATGAAAGAAATAACGGATATTGTTGTGAAATATCAATAGGATGTTCTAATTCACGAACACCAAAATGACGACGTTGCATATTAATCGATTCTAATCCAATAAAACATGATACAACGTCCGATAATAACCGACTAAAAACATTTTTGACCATTTCAAAATATGTCATTGCCAGAACATTAGCTGTTGACATTGAATTAGCTGGTGGATACCACATTGGAGATATATAATCATTGACTGATGTCATTGATTGGCCACTCCATGTTGCCACTGCTGGAATATTAAATTTCTCAGCTAAAATAAAGCCAGCTGATGTGAAAATATCACATATAATGAATATGGGTGGCTTTTTCATTAGAATTGGATATGTTTCTAAGATTGTCCATGAAAAAACAGATAACAAATCAAAAACCGTTTTTAACAATTCATAAAATGGAGCAGATGATAGAACTAATTGTATTTCTGTTAGAGTATCACGATCTATCGAATCAGGAACTACCAAATGACCACCAGTCCAAAAATCTTTGATTTTATTAAATTCTTTTTCTTCAAGAACTAATACAACATTATGACCACGATCTACAAGTTCCTATTATACGAATGAAAGTCAATTAATAATTGTATTCATAATGATATTTACTTGACATATTGCTATTATAGGAGCAACATGTGATGCAGGTATTGATGTACATAATATGTAATTTTGGTCTTGTAGTTGATAATGTTGAAATTTCGATGAAAACGTGATTTTTAGATCATATCCAAAGCGAGATGCACTAAGATTACTTGGCACAATTTTAGGAAAGTTAATCGTATCTGCTTGTACCGTGTTCATTAACAGATAACCCATGAAGAAAGTGAGTAAATTGATAAAAATTGATGAATTCATCGTCAAAGTTATTAAAATAATAGGATAAATGTATTTCTTTACTACAAAACTACCCTTTATGATTTTTATCCAGCTAAATAACAGAATTCGACGCAAAATATACCATAATACTACTGTTATATTTCTATTCTACGCAAGGCTAATATGAGTCATTTTATTACGTTTTTTTATAAGCAAATGTGATGAGAACGTAAGGGAAAAATACACCAATCTATTTAGTATGTGCATCTTCATCCTATCGTTGTGTCATACATGGATGATTTATACAAAAACAAAACATATCTTGATAATTTTTGCACTTTATCACATTACTCATATATTTTGATTATTTGAATGAATAAAACTAATATTTAAAATATAAAGCAAAAATTAAAAACAATATGAAAATGAATGTATTTTCGTAGTTTGAACGTAGCGATATTTGTAACTGTTTTCTGACAGCTAACTTCGTCAAAATCTTTATTTACAGTACCTACATCATCTTCCAGAGGTGTTCTGTGGATCTTGTATGAATTGCGAAACTATCTCTATTAAATTCACCATCATTTTAAACCTACTTCTGAAAATTTCAAAGCAAAAATATCGTTTTTGTTTCAAAAATCACTAGTCCAATTCTTACGGGCTACCACTATAGGTTACTGCGGATGCATTTTTAAGAAAGTGGCGCATACTTTTATTGTGCATCGAATGACATGTGAAATAAAGATGATATGTTTTACTAGAAAAAAACTAGGTAGATTTAGAAGTTACACCATTGTGGTAGATAACGAGACTACCCCGTACATTTTCAGAGTGGATATGTAATATGTGATAAAACTCTAGACAGCGTTTATAGACTCACGTTTACATCAGAAATTGAAAAATCATGTTGGGAAGATCACAAACATAATCGATAAAGAAGTAGGCATAGTTTTCTGAAGAGTATCGATTTTTGTTACTCGGGACATGTCTGCAGTATTTTAAGTATTTCTCTTTGAAGACTTTATCGAATGGAAAAACGTATATTAAAAGAAAAATAAATAAGAGGTACTGTAATTTTGCATTACCTATACCCTACATATGCTTCCGTTGTCAGATATTCATCGATTAATATAACGTTTTTTGCTTTTACGGCTCGTTGAGTAGATATCCACGTGGGCATATATCCTCTTTATTTTTCATTCTTTGCTTGTGACTTATTTTCACATGGTCAAGTAAAAATATGTCATGTGAAAATAATTGAATGGAAATTTCCGACATTGAAAACAATCTGATGGTCACTTCTGTTCGTTCAAAGTGAAATATTTTCCAGCTCAGTATACTATATCCGTGGTAACATTTAGTTCCTGTTTATAAAATAGCGTTTGAATTATATATATATTATGATCAACACGATATTTAATCGAGCTGGTAGAACGAGCGATACGTTCCGCTAGATGATTTTTCTCTTTGTAGAATCGTGGAGAAAGATAATTATATACACAAATAGTTTAAACAGCAATAGAAACGAACGTTTATATATGTAAATTCGATAAAGCATTACGCTTCTGCAATTAAAGCGGACTTACGCAAAAAGCTATTGTAATTCTATTTCTTTGAGACAAACTATAATTAATAGTACTATTTATAAAACATTGAAATCTAAAGGTATATATTTATGCAAAAACTGCTTTACTCTAAGAACTCAAGTCTCTTGCTAAAGTATACAATTCGTTGTATAGGATGCATTAACCTTTTGGTCTGATAGTGAATGAAAATGAGTATGGACATTAAGTGTGAATATTTAACTACTTCGCGACAAGTCTCTGGTCGTGCCATTCAGTCAAATCCTTAATTTTAGTTTGATTTAATTTCAATGTGTTATAGGTAACTTCACTATATTACGTATATGGTAACGACCGATAAGAAAACGTTCCGAAATAAAGATTTGCTGACTATTGATTCCATAGAAACAATTTCTGCCGAGTCGAAGTATTTGAGCTTCGGTCAGTTTTTTTGGAAACGGTCTGCCGGAACAGATTTCGATCAATCAAACAATATTGCCGTAGAACGTATCAAAATCCGAAGTGTTTGCAAGAGAATCTGATTAAATGGCGGCTTGTTCATTTTCATCGAGCATTACACAATAAGAGCCCGTCTCCATCTTTGTGAGACTGCAAATTTTATTTCATGCTTCCACTCTCACCATATTTGGTTAAAATCCTAATGACAGTTCAACACACGGTGAATCGACTGCCGTACATATTTACACTATGAAGTTTGTTTCATATGAATATCTTCTCTTTATAGTGTTAAACCAAGCACTACATAAATAATCACGATTTCGGCTTAAACCGTGGTTTATATAGTTCAAACTATTTCTCACTGTATTACACAAGTTTCCGTCATATCAAGGATTTGTGTATCGTGGTGTCAAAGGAAATATGAGCAATCGACACTGCCTGACTCTTATTTCGAAGTGATTGATGAAACTGGAATTACAAATGAACTCGATATGATTCATATAAGAGAAATTGATGCAGCATATGGCTTCGTTTGAACATGATCTAAAAATATTTTTGTGATTTTTATACAAAGAAATTATTACTACTCACGATGGATTATTACATAAATCAGATATGGAAAATAGAAGTAAAAACTTTTTTTAATTCGAGAAATTGTCCTATGAAATGTATGCCATGTAACTAAACGCTATTTATCGATTCATTTGACATTTTCCTTTCCTACCTAAGGTTTTTTCTTCAACCTAGTTTCCAGTTGATATTTTGCATCCCAACATAATCTTGTTTGACATTATTCATTTATTACAGTTTCTTCTTCTAATCCCTTATGTCAAAATAATCAACATATCATTTGACGAAAAAGCAACGTTCTCGTCACAAGGAACATGAATAATGACCAATGCATCGGCGTTGTCGGTTCGGGAAATATGGGTCTTGCTATTGCCTATCGTTTATTCTTAAATGGATTCCGTGTAGTATTAGGAAGCCGTTTTCCATCAAGACGACAAGGCACAAAGTATGAAGTAGGAACCATTGTCGAGTGTATTCGACGTTCGTCAATTATTTTCGTTGCTGTTCATCCAGAAAATTACCAGGATTGTCTCGTCTCATGCTTGAATAGTGAACCATCATTATTCAATGGAAAAATTCTCATAGATCTTTCCAATCAAACATCTGCAAAAACACATCAGCAGAACGATCTATCCAATGCCGAACAACTTCAACAAGCAATACCGAATGCATTTGTTGTCAAAGCATTCAATACAGTATCATCATTTGTCATGCAAAGTGAAACAGCAGGTGAACCACACAATATTCTTGTTGCTAGCGATCATTCCGTAGCCAAAGACAAAGTTATTGCACTTGCTCGTGAGATGAATTTCGAATCCTTCAACGCTGGTTCACTTCGAGCAGCACGTCGTTTAGAAAACGATACCAAAGCTCTTTTTCCTCATTGGCGAATACCTATTCTTTTCGCACTGTTCGTTCTATGTATATGGCTTACCTATATTCTCTGCATGTATTACATCAATTACGGCGAAAGTACCTGGGATCAGCTCTTTCTGACGATGATCAACAAAGCTTTAGGTCCATGTGTTATTACCATGTTAGCTATTGTATATATGCCATCGAATCTTGCGTGCATGTTTCAACTAGCTTATGGAACACGAGAACGCCGATTTCCTGCATGGTTAGATCGATGGATGTTGAGTAGAAAGTACTTAGGTCTATTGACATTTGCCCTTGCTCTTTGTCACGCTCTTTTTACGATTATTCTCTTATCACCTGCTTATATACCTTCATGGTTTCAATCGTCTGAAATTCGAATCATGGATGCTCACAATCGCACTCGGCGCATCTTTTCGAACAATCTGATGTCGGGAACAGGTGAAATAGCAGCATTGCTAGGTGTTCTAACTGTTCTGTCTATGTCGGTTCTGGCGATCACAAGTATTCCAGCCATTGGTAATCTACTGAATTGGCGAGAATGGCGTTTTATACAATCCAAACTTGGGACGACGACATTGTTACTTGCCATTGGACATGTTATTGCCGTAGGAATACCATTTTGGTTTCCATTGAACGCTGTCAAAGCATTCTCCAATCTTTCTTCGTTATGTTTATATTTGCCAGTGTTGACTATTTTACTCAAGTTTATTTTCTGGTTACCCTGCTTCAGTCGTCCACTCTATCGTATTCGTCGTGGACAAGACACACGACAATCTAACAAATCGAAAATATTACTAAAAACAACTTCATTTTAAGTCTCTACTCATAAATAGAACAATCTTGTTGCCTTTTCCGGACTTTTTATTTTCAAATAAACAACGATACATTTTGTAGAACTAATGAAGAGTCAGCTGGTTTAAACGAATGAAACGGATGTTCTAATGATGGCAGTAATAATAATCATCGTCTTCGGCCATACAACACGAGTGGCAACCAGATCGTCCGCATTCGTCTGCACTCGTGTATTGACGACTTATATGATGGTAACCTTGACCGCATGACAAAATACCACGTTTGTCGATTGAATAGTTCTCGTTGACAGGACTTGACTGAACGAAATAACTGAAAATTAAGCTTAAGCAGACGAAGAATACAACTTTTTGCATTTTGGTGGATAGACGAATAAATATCAATTGTGCGCGAGAAACAAACTTTCCTTCGTATTTATAGCGATATATTTCTCTGTTCCGTCAGGGTAGAAGGTCAAAAAGTTCATCTCGTAAAACAAAATGTGAAGAGAGGAAGAGAGAAAAAATGTTGGAACACGTCAACGATAGAGTTGCCATATGTTTGTTTACTCGATTGATTTTATTCATCATGACAAGGTCAGAGTGAATGGCCTGTAATGAACTTTCTGATGCTAAATTTATTCTCTGAACAATTCACTGAGACAAATTAAAGTGCAGTAATATCTACGTTCGCACCCTTGATTAATCGTAAGAACCAGGTTTTATTCCTGTAACGTATGCACCACACAGCGATCCAAAGCAAGACGAACGAAATATGTGACAAAGATCAGTATTTGTTTTGGCTCGTGGTAGCGGTACGACCGCTGGTCCAAATCCGAGAATAATATGCCAAAGAATTTCCATTGCGCTACCAAATGTCCTCAAAAGATTCGTTCCTAGAATTTCTCGATCAAGAGGAGTCGTACAATACGGTTGAAGACTGGCATTATACACTGCAGACCACTGTTCATATGTGTAGTGAAGAATACGTTCCTTTCTCACATAGAATTGCGCACAACATAAGATAGAGAAAATGCTCATATCTTTCGGAACTACTTTTTTCGGATTCAATTGTAATTCTCCATCGAAACCGAACAAACTCAACAAGTATACACCACATTTGTACATCACTGTGATATTGTCCACAGGATCGATTTTCCCGGCTACCCAAGGTCGATCTTGAAACCAAACGTTATTCACACTTGTATAGTAAACATCATCGCGAACGCATTGTGCTGCTTCAATTGGATAGAGCCCGTGTCTTTCCGGTCGTCCATGAATGAATAGCATACGGTCGGGTAGATCATAATAAAAGTCGTAAATGAACTTGAGATAAACGCCAGCTTCTTCATGTACGTTCTTACAGTAGGGCCAATTGAAAGGTGCTTTCGATTCCGGATCTGCTCGTTGATAAAGATATATGTCGTACGGTCGTGACGAACTTGTATTGAACATATCTAATCCAATTTTTAACCAATTAGGCCAAGTCGAAGGTTTATACCAATCGATTTCTTGGTAGATTGCAGGAATGATCACAAGACGATCCTTTCGCCATCTACTCACTTTGGAAGTCGAATTTGCACGAAGTTTAGAAGATAGAAGATCGTTATTACTCAGAATCAGAAGAAGAATAACTGCAGTGAGTAAACAGAAAAGTGTTCGTAGAATAACTGAACTAAATGGAAGATCAATTGAACATAAAGAGAAGGCAGATTGTGAATGTATACGAACCGATATTTGAAATTAATCATTGCTTCAGAGATGAAAAACAGTTTAAAATTTTCTCTTTTCGTTACTTTCACTGCCGATGAAAACGAAAAGCAAACATTACCATGTTCGAATAATAAACGAAAGAAAACACAAATATTTAGGCAACATTTTCTTTCATATTTATTTAAAAAAAAAGCTTTCACTTCACATTTGATCAAATATAATGACAACAGGAAAAACACCCATTAACAAATGTTCAAAAATGCACATAATCTAACAAAAAAATATATTTGCAAAAATTTAAAACGCCTCTGAAAAAGCTCATATAAAATCGTTACAACGCATTTTTTTTTCTTGGATTACAGTTTCAAACAAAATGATGCAAATGTCTATAAAGTTTTAAGATCTATTCAACATCATGAATCTAAAAGCTGTTTTTAAATGGTTTTATGAAAAAATAACTAATTACAATCTTTTTATGTTGGACGAATATGGTTATAACGATAGCGATACAATTAAAGATCCTATCTTAGTTCTTACACAAGAAAAATACAAAACTAGATTGTGTGTTATCCTTCTCGCAGGTAAAATCTATCCTCTTTGATCCGAATAGGTCTGAACTAGAAAATAAACTTGCTCATGGTACATGTGTTTTATTTTAGTATGTCTTTATGTGCTGTTCTACGGAAATTTAACAAAACTGGACCCTAAAACAGTTGTTATTTCCAATATAACCCCGGATAGCTTTGGACAATTATATTTAAAATATAATCACACACTTTCATGTCCATGTTCAACAACTACCATACCGTATTGGAATTTTGTTCTCCAGAGTGTTACAATGCATCCTGTTTGTTCGAGTGTTTTTGTTAGCAAAGAATGGATCGAAGGATTATATTTGACGAAAGCAAGTTTTTATAATTCATGGGATTTTCGAAAATTGGCTTATTCACAGGTTAGTCATTGATTCGTTTTTTTTAATACAAAAAAAAACAAGAAAACAATTCATTATGAACATTTAGTTTGAACTTCTCTCTCGCTTATGTTCACTTTCTGACGAGATTGTTTTTCAACTTCAAACTGATGTTAACAATACTCAACTTGTTACGATTAATCTTCTTTCCATAGAACAAATTCAAATGGAAATAAATAACACGATTGAATTTCAGAGAAGGAATGCTTTTGGTCAAATCGTATCATTTTTGAACTTTTGGCAAACAACAATTCAAAGAAACTATTTAGCTTCAGCTCTCGGCACAAATTGGTTTGTGTTTACTGAGTATGGTTCAGATTATCCTACTATATGGGGATTTCCAGCACCATACCCTTCGGAAAATGAATCCTATATCAAATGTGACTACAATTATCCAGTGATACCAGCTTTTCTTCCTCCACGATCAGATGATTCTAAAGATTTTGAAATCAATTTTAATCCGATACCGAATTCTACAATTGTGAAAGGTTTTTCGATAACATGTACACCTCTTGATGCACTCCTTGGAAGTACATTGGATTGTTTATATGATACCGAATGTATTCAACTATTAGTTAACTATTTTCCAAATCTCACTCAGGTTTTTAAAACTTTTTCATAATGTTTTCAAAATATTCACTTTCTTGTTTAGACGAACATTAATTGGACTAATTCAACTTTAACTTTTCAACATGACAATCATTCTGTATTACATTATTTCGAAAATCTCTTTATAAAAACCTGGTTACCAAGTATGAATTATGCTTCATACTTCAATCAATGCTCTCCATCAATGTGCACATATACAACAACAGACAACAGAAGTTTATCTTATACAATCACACTTTTCATTAGTTTGTATGGTGGTCTTATCATCATACTTCGTTCAGTTGCATTCTATTCAATTGATATTTTATTCAAATGTACACATCGTCAAAATAATTCAAATGAAAATCCGAGTAAATTGACTTTTTATTTTCATTGGAAAAACTATTGATATCTTCTGAATGTTGGAATTCTTTATAGGACATCGAAATAGAAATACGTTTATAGCATTTACATCAATCAAAGAAATGAATTTCTTCAAGAATATTAATGATCGAACAGCAAAGGGCATTACACAACAAAAAATCATTACCCGTGTCTATTTAATTTTATTATTAAGTATATATTACATCTTTTTTGACGTTTATCACTTTGAAATATGTTGATTTTCTTAGTATCAATGTGTACGATTTGTCTTTATACATCATTGAACAATGAAAATGTAACGACAATTCAATCAAAACCTTCGTTAACAACTTATCATTCATTAGATAGTCAATACTCACCAATTCTTCAATGTCCATGTGCAAATAAAGCAATGCCATATCGAACATTTCTCTCATTGTCTCCAATTTTTCATCAAATATGTTTAAGTAGTTTCGTTACCAATGAATGGATCATTCAAATGATGTCTAGTGCAGAAGACAGCATTCCTTATGATTGGCGTCATGGAGCATTTAAATACTTTCAAATCTTATCTGATCTTTGTCAGGTAGCAAATAGAACGAGTAATGTAGCAATTGACAAATTTCTTGCACAATTCTTCATTGCTTCTTCTGTGATGAATCAAAATGATTTCGAGAAACAATTAGATGCATATGTCAAACAAGTCTATCAATCGACAATCTATACATTTGATTTAATGAAAGTGTTAGCGCCTCCTCCCTTGTTCTCGTGTCTCTCTCTCTATCGCTCTCGTTTTCTCGCTATATAACCCTGGTGTGTGTGTTTTCTTGTGGAGAATAAACATCGCTCTCACGAAAGAGAGCAGCTCTAACATATTGGTGCCGTGACCCACTCTTCTTTTACTTTTTCTCATCGAAAAGAAGGGATAATTACTGGNTCGAAATCACCTTAATGAAATTCGATGCGCATGAATTGAGTGGTGCAGCAGCATTCCTTGGTCCATTCTGTTTTAGTTTATTTATTCTGATCGTTGTATTTGTCTGTATGAGTATGTTTTTGACAATTATCAATAACAATTTTCGAGTGGTGCGAGATATGGGTAAAGAACAGGCAAGACATGACCAATATATCGTTTCATTCATGTTTGACAAGTTTCAACGATGGATTGGTGAGCGCATAGGATGAAATTTTCATGATTTCATGAGGATTTTATTTTTCCATTGCAGGTGTGGGTAGCTCGACTGAATTGTATCAAATAGAAGCGCGAGATGAAGAAATGAGATCGAAATACCATGATCCAATCGATCGTTTTCCTGACAAGATGGATGAATTATTGGATGCATTGAATCGAGTATGTCGATGTGAATGAACGTGATAGTATGACTGCATGCTGTGTTTATAGGTATTTATGAATCAACAACCTGATGGGTAAATGAACCAGTTGATGTTGTGAATGTGATTATCGATATACATATGTTAATCCTTCTAAATTGCTTACTGTATGTTCTTTTTCAGTGACTGTCATACAATTATTTCCTTATATTCAAATAAAACGTGACATGACATTTTTGAATGACTTTCACGAGGAATAGTTTATTCATGATTAAAAAAGTAATCGAAATCGAAAATGTTTATTGACGATTTTGAATGTGATTGAGTATTTTAAGCGCCGGACCAATTTTAAAACCCATTTCTTTCACTAGAATGTCGCGTGTTAAAAGAACAAGCGCCTTGCCGTCGATTTTCTAAATAAAAGAATTTATGTAAGTGAGTTCAATAGAATACGAATACAAACCTCTCGAAGAAAACGACATGCAATCCCATCAAATGATGGATCGATGTCTATGATAAACCTGGCGACATCATCTACTGTAAATTGCTCAAGACGGCGATCGTCTAAGCAAGAAAGTGATTCATATAGACCTAATGGACACTTCACTTACTCATTGATGGTATTTCACTATCTATTTTATATTTTATATTTTCGCAAAACATACGTTCAATTTCATCTCGGGATAAGTTCGCGTGATTACTATTAAAGTCCAATTGATTTTGATTTCCAGAGACTTTATCCACAGCTGATACAACCAACAGACCACCGCCGTTAATATCAAATGTTACTTCTATTTGTGGTTCACCACGAGGTGCTGGCGGGATATCCGAAAGTTGAAAACTTCCAAGAAAACGATTATCTTTGGCCATAGGATGTTCACCTTCGAAAACTTTCACATCAAATGTCATTTGATTGTCTTCAGTTGTTGAAAACTGTTGTGTTGATTTTGTTGGAATTGTTGTGCAGCGTCTAACCATTATTTCCATCAGACCGTTAGCTGTTTCAATACCCTACGATAGACAGAAGTAAAGATTCTTGAAACACCACACCTCGGTTTCAATTGAAACTAACCAATGGATGTGGTGCAACGTCCAGTACTAATGAATTCTGGATTTTTTCTGATTCATTGCTCGTCAGAATAGCGGCTTCTATAGCAGCACCACAAACAACAGCTTCATTCGGATTAACTGATTGATTGAGTTGCTTTCCATTAAAAAAGTCGCTGAGTAGTTTTTGAATTCTCGGTATTTGCGTTGAAGCACCAACGAGAACTATTTCGTGAATTTGTACTTTGTCCACTTTGGCATCATACAACGCTTTCTCAACTGTTACAAGTGTTGAACGAAATAGATCAGCATTAATTTCTTCGAAACGAGTGCGAGATACATTTATACTGAAATCGATGTCGTTATACAGAGCATCGATTTCAATGGAAGCCATTGCAAAAGTTGATAACGTACGCTAAACGAAAAGTTAAGAACAAGACGATAATGAAAAAACGTCAACTCAGATGCACTTACTTTAGCATTTTCACAAGCTAATCGTAAACGATTGAGGGCACGCTTGTCATTTGATACATCGACATTATTTTTTATGCGAAACTCTTCAATACAAAGTCTCATGATTCGATCTGTGAAATCTTCTCCACCTAAATGAGAATCACCTGCTACCGATTTCACCTCAATAAATCCACAGTTAGGAGTAAAGATTGATACATTTAATGCGCCACCGCCGAGATCGAAAACAAGAATATTCTTTTCATCAGACTCTGTGTTGTAGGAATTGTATGCCAGAGCAGCAGCTGATGTTTCATGCATGACACGTAATACATTAAGACCAGCGATAATTCCAGCATCTCGAGTTGCACGCCGTTGAGTATCAGTGAAAGATACCGGAACGGTAAGAACAGCTTGAGAAATTTTCCTTCCAAGATATTTCTCTGCATTTTCTTTCATTTTTCTGAGTATCATTGAGGAAATCTCTTCGGGTGAAAATATTTTGATTTCATTTTGGAATCGCACCTGTATTTTTAATCTATCTTCATATTTAACAATGTCGAATGGCCAAGCTTTTTTGTAAGCATCTATACTTGGGTCATTAAATTCCCTTCCTATTAATCGTTTGACATAGAAAATCGTATTTTTCGGCTCAATCCATGATAGAGTTTTGACTGCATCACTAACTATACATCCATTGTCAGTGAATGCAACGCATGAGGATGTTGATCGACGTCCATTTTCATCCGGAATAATTTTCACTTGATCATTTTCGTAGATGGCAACGCGCGAATGCACGGTTCCTAAGTCTATACCAATTGCTACTTCGGCCATACCCGTTCTCTTCTCTAAAAAAAAAGATCTCCGAAAGACAAATAACATTCCACCATTCTAATGGAGAGAAAAAAAGAACGTGTTTTACACGAACGCACACATACATCCCCAGGTAAGAAAAATATTTCTCGACTATGTTTACCACTATTGGTGAAATAAATACTCGTGGAATCATTTCTTCAAATGTAACTATAGTATCAATGAAAGAGAGAGAGAGAGAGATTTATCAAATTTCAGAAATAAGTGACGATGAGCTGCTCACAGATGAATCTATACAGAAAACACACCATGGATATCGAGACACTACGTTTAAGATATGTGAATACAGGTTGTAAAATCTTACATTCAAAAACTTCTTCTATACCTTTCAGATTACTATACGTATATAAATGGTAGAAACAACAAATCGATCTTTTTTCTCTTCATTCTTTTCAACTGCAAAATGTTTATAACCTAGAATGCGATAAACTCAAAACATACATGCAAAGACTATAAAACAAATCACAACGGAGTAAATCACTATGACCAAAGTCATATCGGATTGATATTCCTCACAGAAAATATTCTTAGAATGTCGAAAGATGTCACCCATTAACATGAATATTTCAAATCATTCTTGTCATCCTCTGCCATGATGTTCCTTCAGTCTTCTATCGATCGTTGACATCTTTGTATAAAAATATATTTTCTTGTTGTGAACCAACGAACTCGAATCGTACTGTTTCTGTCATCTGTAACCAATGGATAGTGAAAAGATCACAACATCTACTCAAGAATCATCGAAAGAAACAAAACAAGACGTAGTTATTGTTATAATCGATCAAGATGGCAACAAACAATTGTTAACTGAATGTTTTGAATCATTGCAGAAGGAATGTGGTCAACACCATATGGAACGATGTGCATCATTTGACATCGCATTCGATTACATCAAACAACTCAATGAAAATACAACTGTTATTCTCATCATTGTTGGACGTTCGTATGAGAAACTGCAAGATGCCATGTTAAAGATCGATTCACTGCCAGGAACAGTACGCAACTGTTTTATTTATTCGACTGAACGTGAACATACCGATAAACCTACAACGATCTCAACTCAATACATCTTCGGCAAACGTCAATTACTCTCAGCTGTTCGCGATGTATTTGATGCACTTGATTCGTCACCTGTTCACATTCATTCTGATGAATATACATCGGTGACAGTACATGAAAGTACGTTCAATAAACTATTCCAAGCAATGAAATCGATTAGTTTTAAATTTCTTGGCTTTACAATAAAAATCTCAGAAATGAAAGCGATTTTATCACCGTCGATATTTCAATTCAAAGCTTTAGCCGAACTCATCGGTGCGTTAGATATGCTTCCACATATTAAACAAAATGTGCATGGTGAATGTGAATTAGCCTTAGATGAACACACCGGCAAACTTTTACTTCAGATAAAAAAACTTATCATCGAACTGCCGAAACTGTTCGGATTCGGCGGTGGTTCTACAGATGTTGGCAGTTACATTCCTCCAATTCCATTGAAAGGATTCATTAATTTTACACATCCATTCGATTTACCACATATGTGCGAAACAAGACAATTTATGATCATTCCGCGAAACTCGAGATTCTTTGTTGAAGATAAACGTGCAACGCTTTCCGTACAGATCGACTATGCAGAAACATCTACCGATAAAAAATAATTGTTGTTCACTATTTTTCTGATATTATTTATCTCAGCTAGAAAAAAATATAATAATCTCGCCATGAGTATAACTTTCTTGACACGTTTTGATTATTGTAGTTGATATAGTCTCTTTTGATCTGGAGAGTGTGAATGAGCGACACTCTCTATTCATTGTACTGGTATGGTTTGGATCATTGCTCGAGACGTTTATTCACAATATCAAGAGCAAAGTTTAAACGAATGCAATGCAACAATGATCATATAGTGTAAGAGTATTGTTTTTGGATAGATTTCAATAAAGACTAATTATTTTACGATATTCTTGTTTATAAACTACCGATGATAAATCAAAGGAAATAAAATATTCTGAAATCGCTATTCAATTTCATACAATCAGGTGGAAATCTAATGAGTGAACATGGAATAGCAAGAAGAATCAAAACAATTGAGTCAATAAGAGATATAGCAAACAGAAAACTATTGGTAATATAACCCATCGAACGGATAGAAGTTGGATATTCCACAATATACAATAATTGCTTTTCACTGCTCTTTTTCATCATAGAAACTTCGATGTACTATTTAGTCGGTGCAGTTAATCATTGGTCTATTGTTAAACTCTATCGTAGGAGAAAATCAATGAAAATACACAGAATTTTTAGAAAGACTTCATTTTCAATGAAACCACTTTTTGAACAAATAAAAATCTCAAATATTGACGCGAAGATTATAATTAAAAATAGACTAATCAATATACTGAAAATCTCACTTATTATTGTAGTATAGCGCGTGATAGTTGATAAGAAGATTCTTATTTGAACGAACATGAAACGTAATTATAGTACCAAATGAAATGCAAACTTGTTGTTTATGATTTCATCTTCATACCTGAATACGCATTGGTTTCTCAAGTACTCGAGACATAACGATTGCAGCCAATAAGAACATGAATATGGAGCCATATAATCTGCTCCTGATCATCTTTGATCCTATCAGCAAAGGTTTCGATTATTCAAGTCATCAAAATATTGTTTTACAGGATATAAGGGGACTCAAGTTGATCAGACGATGAACAGGTAAAAATGAGTGAAGTGTTGGTTTAAAACAACTGATTCTGAGGGTCGGGAATCGCATGAAGTCATTGGAACTATGTAGAATCATATAATCCTTTACTAAATCAGCGATTTTCTCCTTAATCAGTATATTTATTCAAAGTTCGGCAGCCGTTTTTTCTCATATCGAACGCCCTTTTTAATTCACTCTTCATTATTAATAATCAATTAGAGTCCACAGGACGCTGACGTAATACTAGACGAACCAGACGTTTAAAAACATGTTTAAGTCGAGTATTTCCATCTACACGTATTTGACCTGGAAAATGCCGTCGTTTCAATTGTTCTTCAAAAGCAGAAAGTATTTGCTGGCGCAATTTAACACTTGGAATAGTCAGCACCAATGGTTCTTTCTTATCGTTTACCATAATGCTTTTTCCAAAAACCGTTATTGCCACGCCATTATGAAATGCAGAATGAATAATTGCAATTAACAAATCAATATTTTCAGTAATAAAAAAGCTTTTTAGCAGTTCTTCTACAGAAACATTGTTTAAACAAGATGATTTCTGTTGACACAAACAAAGCCTGGAAATGATTTCAGGATCTAACTGAGATAATCTTGTTGATGATGTTAGAATACCATTGAGAGCACGTTCAGCTGCATGATGAGATCCATAGTCACTCATATTAAATACGTCTATCAAATGACTAATCACTTCGTTTGTTGCGGCTTTTTCTCCCAATTTTTCGAAAACTGCACAGGCGCTTATTCTTACACATGCTCTATGACCTTGGAGTGCAGCTACGAGTTGGAAGATCACGCCATTCGTTGCCGTGCTCACACTAAAACCACCTAGAGCATTGCAGGCGCTACGTCTGACGTCGATATTTTGATCCCCAAGTGCAGTAACCAATGCAGCAGAAACTGCAGATGTGAGGGTGTTTTTGCATAAAATACCAAGTGCATCACACGCACTTCTTCTGACATTTATATTATCATCTCTTAATGTAATCAATAGCTGATTAATCACATGATTCGTTGCTATCTTTTCGCCTACTATTGCTAGAGTTACACATGCCATCCATCTACTATGATCGATCTCGCTATTCAATTGACTTAGCACTGCCGAAATGACTTCATTCGTCGTTACTGGCTTCCGTATATTAGTATTCGTTTTATTTTTCGATACTAGTGGCGTAACCGGGATATGAGTAGTGATTGGACGGCGTCGAACTATATTTGACCTCGATGATATCACCAGTTTATGATTATAAAAAGCTGAGATTCTGCGGAATAACTGGTAATTAGACTCCACCCGATCATATCCATCTGTGATTGTGCCACTACTTGTTACATTCATCAGCTGAGTTACTAAGTCGTCTGTCGTTATTATTTTGCTAAGAACCATAAGAGTATTATATGCATGCCATCTCACATTTACATCATTATCGTCTAGTGCTATTATGAGTTGAGTAATTGCCTGGTTCGTTGCTGCCTTCTCACCTATTTTCGCAAGTATCACACATATTCTCCATTTAAGATCTTCCCGCTGATCTTTTAAAGCATTCACTAACTGACAGATCACATCGTCTATTGCTATCTTCTTGCCTAGACTGCTAAGAGCATCACATGCACTTCTTCTGACGTTTATATCCTGATCTCCGATTGCTTTCACCAATGTAGAAATTGCCTTAGTCGTCACTCTTCTTTTAACTAGATTGCCGAAGACTACACAAGCACGTTGTCTAACATTTACATCGGAATCTTCTATTTCTCTAAGTAACGTAGACATCGTTCTAGCCGTCGCTGTTTCTTCACCTAGACTTTCGAGAGCACAATATGCACTCCACCGAACATTCTCATTCTGGTCTTCCAACTTATTAATTAGTTTATTGATCACCTCATTCGTTGATGTCTTCTTGCCAAAACTTTCCAAAGCTTCACAAGCACGTTTCCGGATTTCGTGATCTTCGTCATTCAGCGCATTAGTCACTTCAGTAACGAGCGCAGCTGTCGAACTTGTAAGTTTAAGTTCAGAGATTAACGATAAAAGTTCCAGTTTGGCACTTCTATCACCTTTCTGCAGTATATTAATAAATGTATTTGTGATTTTCTCGTTGGATACTGTCAACGGAGCTTTTTGTAATAATTGCGAGAAAGATTTGCGGATTAATTCGTTGTCCTGATACAAACTACATTTGACACATCCAGCCACCCATTCTAATAGATCAGGGCGTCGAGTAAAATTTAACTGCCTAGCGGTTTCTTCGATGCATGGAATAACAAGCCGCATATGCCTGATTCCAACAAGGTCTACTGGCTCTGCTAGAATATTATTCCAAAACATATTAATTCGTGCCTCTGTATTGGATTTACTGAGAAGACCAGAGGCAAAGGTGAACACTGAAGCATAGCGTTGATTGTATTTTTGACGTCGAACGAAGCCCGTAGCGTTATCATAAGATTCATGTAGAATATTGATCAGATACCGCGCTGCAAAATATTCCTGAAAGCTGAGATGTACAAAATAATAATCCTTTTCCATTTCGATTTGAGTACCAATTCCTTTTTGGTGGAAACTTTTTAAAATACCTATATTGAGAATGTCTGGATTATTTTCTGTAGATACGTTCGCTTCATCTAATGCTCTCTTCAATAGATCTGGTCGAATAATAATAGTATTACTATCCATAGCCATAAATGCAAGGCATTCTAAAAATGTCAGCTCAGTTTTACAACGTTCATATAGTTCCCTTTCAGATAATTTCTGATAGTGGATATTTTGAGCCTTTAGATATCGACGACATAACCATTCGATCATTGTGTTATATAATGCTGTTATTGTTAATTTTTCTGTTTCCATGGAATTTTTACCGCTCCATACACTACAAATTAGTTCCAAATTCACTGGAATATGTGCAACACCCCGAACGCTTCGATTTGATTCTAACAGATTACGTAGTGTTTCCACTTTATCAGTCATATCTCCTAAATCATCTTTCATTTGACTGAAAAATTGTTGGATATATCCCATGATGTTTTCATCAGTAAAACCTGTTATTTCCATTTGTACATCATATGAGAGAGTATTGAGGTAGGGACGTGATGTTACAATATGATGTGTAGTACTTAATAATTGCTCCACTAAGTATTGTAAATGTGACGGAACATTTTGTACAACTTCATCATATCCATCCAAAATCCAAAGAACTTTACTTGTGTTTAGGCGCAGGTGGTGTCTTAGACAGTTCTCCTCTGCTTCAGATAATTTGTCAAAAAAAACCTCTTTTTTGATGAGGTCAATAAGAGAATAATTTTGACCAGACGCTAACGTAGGATAGCGACTGATTGTTAAACGACGTAACGGTATTAAAATTACTATTTCGTATTGAAGCCAAAACATATTGGTTGCCCATTGGTAAGCAATATATCGACAAAATGTAGATTTTCCGATACCAGCTCGTCCAAACACGAGTATTTGCTTTTCTGATCTTTTGCACGTGTCAAAAATATTCTTAACATCTATTAAACTCTTTGCACCATAAATCTCTTCAAAAGTTTCGAGTATGGTTTCATTGTATTGATCACTATTCAGTAGATTTTCTTTTTCGCGCTGCTGTTTTGTTTCAACAATAGTTAAATTGATATAGCACTCGTCAATTGGAAATGATATTGCTGGATTGATCAAACTTTCGATATGACAACTCCGTTGGTACATTTGTTTTATCGATTTAAATAGATCTGCTGATGTATCAGGGAGCTCACTATTCAAAGAAGGTTTGAGTATTCATAGAAGAACTGCTGTTTCTTATAGACATAGTGATGGATCTTTTTCGAATTATATAGTTTCGAACGATTAAATTACTGTGAGACTTAGAACATGGCTCCAGAAAAACTAGCACATGTCCAAATTTAGTGAAATTTACTCAATCATAACTCATATGTACAGATGTATCCATACCTGAATATAAACTGAATATATGCATAACTGAAATTCTATCTTCTCCCCGGTTTTATTCTATGTTAGGATCTTTAAAATCTCAGCTAGGCGTTCGCTCCACTCCTCGCACGTGTCACAATCTTTGTCAAAGGAGAAGAGATCTTCAGGCAATACGTTCACTTCAGAGCTATTCTGTCTTCATTTAGATGCAATATGTATGTATCAACTACATGAACTAACCTTCGCGATACTTCTTCTTCCAGTTGAATAATAGCGAAACGGTTCTCAGAATTGTCTAATGCAGTTTTAACCCTAACATGAGTGCCAGGCATAAGAATGACCTCATGCTCTTCTGGAAAATATGAAAACTCCGATATATCTTTTCCATGAACTGGATCAATAGCAAACAGCGTTCCCATGTCATCTAAATATTGTTTGACCACTCTGAGATCGGTCGAACAAGAATTGACGCTCCACCAAATATGCACATCACCATCTCTGAACACCATACTAACGTTTCCACCAACACCACGCCAAATCGTCTTGTCGGTTGACGGCAATTTCCGGAGGGCAGTCATGAAAAGTTTCAAGAAGGGAAACCATGGTTTAAGGGCATCCCGATTTTCGGCTCGAAGACTTTCATTCAGAAGGGAAAAGAAAGGTTTCGGCATTGTATAGAGAAGAATCGCTGCTGACTCATCCAATGTTAACAGGAATGAATGTCGTTTGCATTCATTCTTAGCAGTAGCCACGTAATCAGTAATATTAGAAACAAATGGAACCAATTCTTTCACAGATTCTTCTAAAGTCTGAAGTGGTGAGTCTTCGTAACCAAATATTGGGCTGCTATTGGCTTGTTGAAGCTTTGAAAAAGCTTTATCGACAAAACGATCAGTTGCTGCTGACGTCATTTTTTATCGTTATTTGTTCACACTATTTGATAATTCTATTCCACAAAAGCCAACTAAAATATAACAGAAAAATTAGTCCTTTTGTATTTTCGAAATACCTAAGTATGTATTAGTTAGTATTTATCACAATTATTTCATTATTTCAATACTGTAGAATATAATGTATAGTGAAGACTTCCAGTGGTTCTTCTGGTGTCCGCTATGGAAAGATTTCACACATAGAAGAATATTCCGCCAAAAAGAATCCAGTTGAAGATGTCAATAAAATAAATAAACAAAAACAAAACTTACGTTTCTATTTTGGCAATTTTTGAGCAATTCCAGCGGACAATTAGATTCTTTGAAAAAAAAAGTTGAATATAAGGATGTGATTCTATATAGATTTGATCACCAAAAAAAAACAGTTATTATAATAACTAGTTTATCGATGAGAATGTGTCTTCCTCTCTAATAGACACATCGTCATAATAAAGATAAGCTGATAATATTGTAATTAAGCGATGCATTCGCAAAATGTTCGATGTATTTATTAAAATCTGGCTAGTAATTTACTTGCAGTCATATGTGAGTAATGCAAAATTACAATACCTCTTATTTATTTTTCTTTCAATATACGCTTTTCGATTCGACTAAGTCTTCAAAGAGAAATACTTAAAATACTGCAGACGCGTCCACAGTAACAAAAATCGATACTCTTCAGAAAACTATGCCTACTTCTTTATCGATTAAGTTTATGATCTTCCCAACATGATTTTTCAATTTCTGATGTAAACGTGAGTCTATAAACGCTGTCTAGACAGCGTTTATAGACTCACGTTTACATCAGAAATTGAAAAATCATGTTGGGAAGATCATAAACTTAATCGATAAAGAAGTAGGCATAGTTTTCTGAAGAGTATCGATTTTTGTTACTGTGGACGCGTCTGCAGTATTTTAAGTATTTCTCTTNGGTTCACCTGCTGTTTCACTTTGCATGACAAATGATGATACTGTATTGAATGCTTTGACAACAAATGCATTCGGTATTGCTTGTTGAAGTTGTTCGGCATTGGATAGATCGTTCTGCTGATTGGTTTTTTCAGATGTTTGATTGGAAAGATCTATTAGAATTTTTCCATCGAATAATGATGGTTCACTATTGAAACATGAGACGAGACAATCCTGGTAATTTTCTGGATGAACAGCGACGAAAATAATTGACGAACGTCGAATACACTCGACAATGGTTCCTACTTCATACTTTGTGCCTTGCCGTCTCGATGGAAAACGACTTCCTAATACTACACGGAATCCATTTAAGAATAAACGGTAGGCGATGGCAAGACCCATATTTCCCGAACCGACAACGCCGATGCATTGGTCATTATTCATGTTCCTTGTGACGAGGACGTAGCTTTTTCGTCAAATGACATGTTGATTATTTTGACATAAGGGATTAGAAGGAGAAACTGTAATAAATGAATAATGTCAAACAAGATTATGTTGGGATGCAAAATATCAACTGAGAACTAGGTTGAAGAAAAAACACTAGGTAGGAAAGGAAAATGTCAAATGAATCGATAAATGGCGTTTAGTTGCATGACATGCATTTCATAGGACACTTTCTTGAATTAAAAAGTTTTTGCTTTTATTTTTCATATCTCATCTATGTAATAGTCCATCGTGAGTAGTAATAATCTCTTTGTATAAAAATCACAAAAAAAATTTAGATCATGTTCAAACGAAGCCATGTGGTGCATTAATTTCTCTTATGTGAATCATACCGAGTTCATTTGTAATTTCAGTTTGATCAATCACTTCGAAATAAGAGTCAGGCAGTGCCAATTGCTCATATTTCCTTTGACGCCACGATACACAAATTCTTGATATGACGGAAGGTTGTGTACTGCAGTGAGAAATAGTTTCAACTAAGAAAGCCACGGTTTAGGATGAAATCGTGATTATTCATGTAGTGCTTGACTTAACACTATAAAGGGAAGATGTTCATATGAAACAAACTTCATAGTGTAAGTGTGTATGGCAGTCGATTCACCGCGTGTTGAACTATCTTTAGGATTTTTACCAAATAGGGAGACGGGCTCTTATTGTGTAATGCACGATGAAAATGAACAAGCCGCCGCTTAGTCAGACTCTATTGCAGACACTTCGGATTTTGATATGTTGCACGGCAATATTGTTTGATTGATCGAAATCTGTTCCGGTAGGCCGTTTCCAAAAAAACTGACCGAAACTCAAATACTTTAACTCGTCAGAAAGTTTCTATGGACGCAGTAGTAAACAAATTTTGTTTTCGGAACGTTTTCTTATCAGCCGTTACCGTATACATAATATCGCGAAGTTACCTATACACGAATTGTATACTTTACCAAGAGATCTGAGTTCTTAAAGTACAGCAGTTTTTGCATAAATATATACCTTCAGTTTTCAATGTTTTATAAATAGTACTATTAATTATAGTTTGTCTCAAAGAAATAGAATTACTACAATTTTTTGCGTACGATTGCTTTAACTGCAAAAGCGTAACGCTTTATGGAATTTATATATATATATATATATATAAACGTCCGTTTCTATCTATTGCTGTTGAAACTATTTGTGTATATAAATATCTTTCTCCACGGTTCTACAAAGAGAAAAATCATCTAGCGGAACGTATCGCTCGTTCTGCCAGCTCTATTAATATTGTGCTGATCATGATATATATATAAATCAACTACTATTTTATAAATAGGAACTAAATGTTACTACGGATATATTATACCGAGCTGTTAAATATCTGACTTGGAACGAACAGAAGTGACCATCAGATTATTTGACAATCATTTCGTTTTCAATGTTGGAAAATTCCATTCAATTAACTTCACATGACATATTTTTACTTGTCTATGTCAAAATAAATTACAAGCAAAGAATGAAAAATAAAGAGGATATATGCCCACGTGGATATCTAATCAACGGACCAAAACAAACCCTGTCAACGAGCCGTAAAAGGAAAAACGTTATATTAATCGATGAATATCTAACAACGAAAGCATATGCAGGGTGCAGGTAATGCAAAATTACAGTACCTCTTATTTAGTTTTCTTTCAATATATGCTTTTCGATTCGACTAAGTCTTCAAAGACAAATACTTAAAATACTGCAGACGCACCCGGAATAACAAAAACCGATATCCTTCAGAAAACTCTGCCTACTTCTTTATCGATTAAGTTTTTGATCTTCCTCATATGATTTTTCAATTCCTGATGTAAACTTGAGTGTATATAAACGCTGTGTACACAGCGTTTATATACACTCAAGTTTACATCAGGAATTGAAAAATCATATGAGGAAGATCAAAAACTTAATCGATAAAGAAGTAGGCAGAGTTTTCTGAAGGATATCGGTTTTTGTTATTCCGGGTGCGTCTGCAGTATTTTAAGTATTTGTCTTTGAAGACTTAGTCGAATCGAAAAGCATATATTGAAAGAAAACTAAATAAGAGGTACTGTAATTTTGCATTACCTGCACCCTGCATATGCTTTCGTTGTTAGATATTCATCGATTAATATAACGTTTTTCCTTTTACGGCTCGTTGACAGGGTTTGTTTTGGTCCGTTGATTAGATATCCACGTGGGCATATATCCTCTTTATTTTTCATTCTTTGCTTGTAATTTATTTTGACATAGACAAGTAAAAATATGTCATGTGAAGTTAATTGAATGGAATTTTCCAACATTGAAAACGAAATGATTGTCAAATAATCTGATGGTCACTTCTGTTCGTTCCAAGTCAGATATTTAACAGCTCGGTATAATATATCCGTAGTAACATTTAGTTCCTATTTATAAAATAGTAGTTGATTTATATATATATCATGATCAGCACAATATTAATAGAGCTGGCAGAACGAGCGATACGTTCCGCTAGATGATTTTTCTCTTTGTAGAACCGTGGAGAAAGATATTTATATACACAAATAGTTTCAACAGCAATAGATAGAAACGGACGTTTATATATATATATATATATATAAATTCCATAAAGCGTTACGCTTTTGCAGTTAAAGCAATCGTACGCAAAAAATTGTAGTAATTCTATTTCTTTGAGACAAACTATAATTAATAGTACTATTTATAAAACATTGAAAACTGAAGGTATATATTTATGCAAAAACTGCTGTACTTTAAGAACTCAGATCTCTTGGTAAAGTATACAATTCGTGTATAGGTAACTTCGCGATATTATGTATACGGTAACGGCTGATAAGAAAACGTTCCGAAAACAAAATTTGTTTACTACTGCGTCCATAGAAACTTTCTGACGAGTTAAAGTATTTGAGTTTCGGTCAGTTTTTTTGGAAACGGCCTACCGGAACAGATTTCGATCAATCAAACAATATTGCCGTGCAACATATCAAAATCCGAAGTGTCTGCAATAGAGTCTGACTAAGCGGCGGCTTGTTCATTTTCATCGTGCATTACACAATAAGAGCCCGTCTCCCTATTTGGTAAAAATCCTAAAGATAGTTCAACACGCGGTGAATCGACTGCCATACACACTTACACTATGAAGTTTGTTTCATATGAACATCTTCCCTTTATAGTGTTAAGTCAAGCACTACATGAATAATCACGATTTCATCCTAAACCGTGGCTTTCTTAGTTGAAACTATTTCTCACTGCAGTACACAACCTTCCGTCATATCAAGAATTTGTGTATCGTGGCGTCAAAGGAAATATGAGCAATTGGCACTGCCTGACTCTTATTTCGAAGTGATTGATCAAACTGAAATTACAAATGAACTCGGTATGATTCACATAAGAGAAATTAATGCACCACATGGCTTCGTTTGAACATGATCTAAATTTTTTTTGTGATTTTTATACAAAGAGATTATTACTACTCACGATGGACTATTACATAGATGAGATATGAAAAATAAAAGCAAAAACTTTTTAATTCAAGAAAGTGTCCTATGAAATGCATGTCATGCAACTAAACGCCATTTATCGATTCATTTGACATTTTCCTTTCCTACCTAGTGTTTTTTCTTCAACCTAGTTCTCAGTTGATATTTTGCATCCCAACATAATCTTGTTTGACATTATTCATTTATTACAGTTTCTCCTTCTAATCCCTTATGTCAAAATAATCAACATGTCATTTGACGAAAAAGCTACGTCCTCGTCACAAGGAACATGAATAATGACCAATGCATCGGCGTTGTCGGTTCGGGAAATATGGGTCTTGCCATCGCCTACCGTTTATTCTTAAATGGATTCCGTGTAGTATTAGGAAGTCGTTTTCCATCGAGACGGCAAGGCACAAAGTATGAAGTAGGAACCATTGTCGAGTGTATTCGACGTTCGTCAATTATTTTCGTCGCTGTTCATCCAGAAAATTACCAGGATTGTCTCGTCTCATGTTTCAATAGTGAACCATCATTATTCGATGGAAAAATTCTAATAGATCTTTCCAATCAAACATCTGAAAAAACCAATCAGCAGAACGATCTATCCAATGCCGAACAACTTCAACAAGCAATACCGAATGCATTTGTTGTCAAAGCATTCAATACAGTATCATCATTTGTCATGCAAAGTGAAACAGCAGGTGAACCACACAATATCCTTGTTGCTAGCGATCATTCCGTAGCCAAAGACAAAGTTATAGCACTTGCGCGTGAAATGAATTTCGAATCCTTCAACGCTGGTTCACTTCGAGCAGCACGCCGTTTAGAAAACGATACCAAAGCTCCTTTCCCTCATTGGCGAATACCTATTCTTTTTGCACTGTTTGTCCTATGTATATGGCTTACCTATATTCTCTGCATGTATTATATCAATTACGGCGAAAGTACCTGGGATCAGCTCTTTCTGACGATGATCAATAAAGCTTTAGGCCCATGTGTTATTACCATGTTAGCTATTGTGTATATGCCATCGAATCTTGCGTGTATGTTTCAACTAACGTATGGAACACGAGAACGTCGATTTCCTGCATGGTTAGATCGATGGATGTTGAGTAGAAAGTACTTAGGTCTATTGACATTTGCCCTCGCTCTTTGTCACGCTCTTTTTACGATTATTCTCTTATCACCTGCTTATATACCTTCATGGTTTCAATCGTCTGAAATTCGAATCATGGATGCTCACAATCGCACTCGGCGCATCTTCTCGAACAATCTGATGTCGGGAACGGGTGAAATAGCAGCATTGTTAGGTGTTCTAACTGTCCTGTCTATGTCGGTTCTAGCGATCACAAGTATTCCAGCCATTGGTAATCTACTAAATTGGCGAGAATGGCGGTTTATACAATCCAAACTTGGTACAACGACATTGTTACTTGCCATTGGACATGTTATTGCCGTAGGAATACCATTTTGGTTTCCATTGAATGCTGTCAAAGCATTCTCCAATCTTTCTTCGTTATGTTTATATTTGCCGGTGTTGACTATTTTACTCAAGTTTATTTTCTGGTTACCCTGCTTCAGTCGTCCACTCTATCGTATTCGTCGTGGACAAGACACACGAGAATCTAACAAATCGAAAATATTACTAAAAACAACTTCATTTTAAGTCTCTACTCATAAAAGAACAATGTTGTTGCCTTTTTCGGACTTTTTATTTTCAAATAAATAATAATACATTTTGTAGAACCAATGAAGAGCCAGCTGGTTTAAACGAATAAATCGGATGTTCTAATAATGGCAGTAATAATAATCATCGTCTCCGGCCATACAACACGAGTGGCAACCAGATCGTCCGCATTCGTCTGCACTCGTGTATTGACGACTTATATGATGGTAACCTTGATCGCATGACAGAATACCACGTTTGTCGATTGAATAGTTCTCGTTGACAGGATTTGACTGAACGAAATAGCTGAAAATTAAGCTTAAGCAGACGAAGAATACAATTTTTTGCATTTCGATGGATAGACGAAAAGGTATCGATTGTGTGCGAGAAATAAACTTTCCGTCATATTTATAGTGATGTATTTCTCTGTTTCGTCAGGGTAGAAGGTCAAAAAGTTCATCTCGTTAAACAAAGTGTGAAGAGAGAGAAAAAATGTTGGAAGACGTCAACGATAGAGTTGTCATATGTTTGTTTACTCGATTGATTTTATTCATCATGTCAAGATCAGAGTGAATTACCTGTAATGAACTTTCTGATGCTAAATTTATTCTCTAAACAATTCACTGAGACAAATTAAAGTACAGTAATATCTACGTTCGCACCCTTGATCAATCGTAAGAACCAGGTTTTATTCCCGTAACATACGCACCACACAACGATCCAAAACAAGACGAACGAAATATGTGACAAAGATCAGTATTTGTTTTGGCTCGTGGTAGCGGTACAACCGCTGGTCCAAATCCGAGAATAATATGCCAAAGAATTTCCATTGCGCTACCAAATGTCCTCAAAAGATTCGTTCCTAGAATTTCTCGATCGAGAGGAGTCGTACAATATGGTTGAAGACTGGCATTATACACTGTAGACCACTGTTCATATGTGTAGTGAAGAATACGTTCCTTTCTCACGTAGAATTGCGCACAGCATAAGATAGAGAAAATGCTCATATCTTTCGGAACTACCTTTTTCGGATTCAATTGTAATTCTCCATCGAAACCGAACAAACTCAACAAATATACACCACATTTGTACATCACTGTGATATTGTCCACAGGATCGATTTTCCCGGCTATCCAAGGTCGATCTTGAAACCAAACGTTGTTCACACTTGTATAGTAGACATCATCGCGAACGCATTGTGCTGCTTCAATTGGATACAGTCCGTGTCTTTCCGGTTGTCCATGAATGAATAGCATACGGTCGGGTAGATCATAATAAAAGTCGTAAATGAACTTGAGATAAACGCCAGCTTCTTCGTGTACATTCTTGCAGTACGGCCAATTGAAAGGTGCTTTCGATTCCGGATCCGCTCGTTGATAAAGATATATGTCGTACGGCCGTGACGAACTTGTATTGAACATATCTAATCCATTTTTTAGCCAATTAGGCCAAGTCGAAGGTTTATACCAATCGATTTCTTGGTAGATTGCAGGAATGATCACAAGACGATCCTTTCGCCATCTACTCGCTTTGAAAGACGAATTTGCACGAAGTTTAGGAGCTAGAAGTTCGTTATTACTCAGAATCAGAAGAAGAATAACTGCACTGAGTAGACAGAAAAGTGTTCGTAGAATAGCTGAACTAAATGGAAGATCAATTGCACATAAGAGAAGGCAGCTTGTGAATGTATACGAACGGATGTTTGAAATTAATCATTGCTTCAGAGATGAAAAACAGTTTAAAACTTTCTCTTTTCGTTACTTTCACTACCGATGAAACCGAAAAACAAACATTACCATGTTCGAATAATAAACGAAAGAAAACACAAATATTTAGGCAACATTTTCTTTCATATTTATTTTAAAAAAGCTTTCACTTCACATTTCATCAAATAAAATGAAAACAGGAAAAACACCCGTTAACAGATGTTCAAAAATCCATATAATATAACAAAAACATATTTGCAAAAATTTAAACCGCCCCTGAAAAGGGCCATATAAAATTGTTAAAACGCATTTTTTTCTTCTCGGATTACAGCTTCAAACAAAATGGTCCAAATGCCTATGAAGTTTTAAGATCTATTCAACATCATGAATCTAAAAGCTGTTTTTAAATGGTTTTATGAAAAAATAATTAATTACAATCTTTTTATGTTGGACGAATATGACTATGAAGGTAGCGATACAATTAAAGATCCTATATTGGTTCTTACACAAGAAAAATACAAAACTAGATTGTATATTATACTTCTCGCAGGTAAATCTATCCCCTTTGGTCCGAATAGGTCGGAACTAGAAAATAAACTTGCTCATGGCACATGTGTTTCGTTTTAGTATGTCTTTATGTGTTGTTCTATGGAAATTTAACAAAACTGGAACCTAAAACAGTTGTTATTGCCAATATAACACCTGATAGGTTTGGTCAATTATATTTCGAATATAATCAAACACTTTCATGTCCATGTTCAACAACTACAATACCGTATTCGAACTTTGTTGTCAAGAGTGTTGCAATGCATTCTGTTTGTTCGAGTGTTTTTGTCAGCAAAGAATGGATCGAAGGATTATATTTGATAGAAGCAAGTTTGTATAATTCATGGGATTTTCGAAAATCGGCTTATTCACAGGTTAGTCAACGATTCTTTTCTTTCTATACAGAAAAAGAAAACGATTCATTATGAACATTTAGTTTGAACTTCTCTCTCGCTTATGTTCACTTTCCGACGAGATCGTTTTTCAACTTCAAACTGATGTTAACAATACTCAACTTCTTACAATTAATCTTCTTTCCATAGAGCAAATTCAGATGGAAATAAACAACACGATTGAATTTCAGAGAAAGAATGCTTTTGGTCAAATCGTATCATTTCTGAACTTTTGGCAAACAACAATTCAAAGAAACTATCTAGCTTCAGCTCTCGGCACCAATTGGTTCGTGTTTACCGACTATAGATCAAATGATCCTAGTATATGGGGATTTCCAACACCATACCCTTCGGGAAACGAATCCTATATAAAATGTGACTACAATTATCCAGTGATACCAGCTTTTCTTCCTCCACGATCAAATGATTCCAAAGATTTTGAAATCAGTTTTAACCTGATACCTAATTCTACAATTGTGAAAGGTTTTTCGATAACATGTACACCTCTTGATGCACTTCTTGGAAGCACATTGGATTGTTTATATGATACCGAATGTATTCAACTATTAGTCAACTATTTTCCAAATCTCACTCTGGTTTTTAAAACTTTTTCATAATGTTTTCAAGATATTCACTTTCTTGTTTAGACGAACATTAATTGGACTAATTCAACTTTAACTTCTCAACATGACAATCATTCTGTGTTACACTATTTCGAAAATCTCTTTATAAAAACCTGGTTACCAAGTATGAATTATGCTGCATACTTCAATCAATGTTCTCCATCAATGTGCACATATACAACAACAGATAACAGAAGTTTATCTTATACAATCACACTTTTCATTAGTTTGTATGGTGGTCTTATCATCATACTTCGTTCAGTTGCATCCTATTCAATCGATATTTTATTCAAATGTACACATCGTCAAAATAATTCAAATGAAAATCTGAGTATATTGACTTGGAAAAAATATTGATATCTTCTGAATGTTGGAATTCTTTATAGGACATCGAAATAGAAATATGTTTAAAACATTTACATCCATCAAAGAAATGAATTTCTTCAAGAATATTAATGATCGAACAGCAAAGGGCATTACACAACAAAAAATCATTACCCGCGTCTATTTAATTTTATTACTAAGTATATATTACATCTTTTTTGACGTTTATCACTTTGAAATACGTTGATTTTCTTAGTATCAATGTGCATTGTTTGTCTCTATACATCATTGAACAATGAAAATGTAATCACAATTCAATCACATCCTTCGTTAACAACTTATAATTCACTAGATAGTCAATACTCATCAATCCTTCAATGTCCATGTGCAAATAAAGCAATACCATATCGAACATTTCTCTCATTGTCTCCAATTTTTCATCAAATATGTTTAAGTAGTTTCGTTACCAATGAATGGATCATTCAAATGATGTCTAGTGCAGAAGACAGCATTCCTTATGATTGGCGTCGTGAAGCATTTAAATACTTTCAAATCTTATCTGATCTTTGTCAGGTAGCAAATAAAACGAGTAATGCAGCAATTGACAAATTTCTTGCACAATTNCGTATGATTTTATGACGTCATATATATGTACGATCGGAACGCAAGAAGATATGTATATGTAGTGACGTCATGTAAGGACGATCACATATGACGTCATTATATAACACACCTCCCCTGCCATCAGATGAAGCGTCCCGCTCATCAAATATAATAAAGATGAAATCTAATTAAGAAACCAAAAACCGAGAGCCAGGTTAAATATCATTCCTATTTGTTACCGACGTTGTGTAGAAAAATTTGCCACCTTTTTCTCATAAAACATTGACAGTAACGAATCATTATCAGTGACGATGTTTGAATAGATATGTCGAGAACAAAAATCATGGGTTAAATAATAATCCGGATGCGTGACACATGGACTCTCTCTGTATGACCATCATGGATGTGCTTTACCTCGTAGTTTAATCTATTGAGCTGACGAAGAATTCGAAAAGGACCATAGTATTTTGGAGAAAACTTTCGCAGATGCTTAACCATCATTTGTTTGAGGAATACCAATTGGTTGGGTTTTAGTGGTGTGAGATCACGCCGTCCGGTGTCATATGTTCTCTTATAGACATTTTGGGTGTGTTTAATTTGATACCATGCACTAGATTTTGCTTGTTTCAAAAATCGAATGAGGTGTAAATAATAATCATTGACGGACGGAAGTTGAGTGATTGATTGAGGAACGTCAAATGGCAAAATAGCATCTCTTCCATACATTAACTTGAATGGTTCTATTCCGGTGGTAGATTGTTTCGCTGTATTGTATGCAAATGTCACGTATGGCAGAAAGTCATCCCAATCGCTTTGTTGTTCGTTAACATATGTACCAATGGAATCAACAAGTGTAGCATTAAAACGCTCTGTGAGCCCATTGCATTGTGGATGGTAAGTCGTGGTTTTCAGATGATGGATTCCACATCGTGACGCAATCGCTTCAAACACATTAGCCATAAAATGGGTGCCCCGATCTGTGAGTACCTGTTTAGGTACGCCATATTGCAGGACAACGTTCTGAACCAAAAACTTGGCTGCAGTCTCTGCGGTACAATTTGGTGTAGCTTGAGTAATTGCGTAACGTGATAGATAGTCAGTACATACCAATATGTATTTATTTCCAGAAGATGAGGACGGGACAGGTCCCACAAAATCCAAGCCAATAAGGTCTAGAATGCCTGTAGGCGGATCGATAGGCTGTAATGTGCCGGTCTGTTTCTTCCTATCGATTTTGAATTGAAGACACTTGGTACATGCCAAGACATACGTTTTAATGGAGTTATACATCCCTGGCCAAAAATAGCGATCACGAATTTTGTACCAAGTTTTACTAACCCCAAGATGCCCACTAGGAGGACTATCATGATACGCATATAGTAATGAAGTAACCATAGATGCCGGAATATAAGGTACTTTTATGACTACGTCGCCGGGTCGGTGAATAATTTTATGTAGAATATCATTATCTACGATATATGATGATCGAATTTTACCTTTATGTAACTGATCAAGTAGGATGCTAATTTTCGGATCTGCTTGTTGCTCTTGTTTGATCTTCGTAGAGTCAAATGGTGAAGAATCATTGAAATTCACGTGGTTAATTTGTCCATGCATAAGGTCCAGTTGGTCTTCCACAAGTGAATCAGGTGGTCCCGTTGGATATCGTGACAAACAATCCGCGACACAATTCGATGATCCCGGAGTATGCTTGATGTCAAACGTATATTCTTGAAGTTGCAAAGACCAACGATCCAGTCGTCCATTCTTTGATGATTGTTTATTCAACCAACACAATGGATGGTGATCTGTAATAAGAGTAAAGCTTTGGCCATATAAATATGGGCGTAGTTTGGTAATACACCACACCATTGCCAGACATTCTTTCTCTACCACCGAGTATTTTTGTTCTCTTTTGGATAAAGATCTCCATAGATATTGGATTGGTTGAAGGCGCCCATTCGGTGTAACCTGATGCAAAACTCCGCCAATACCTTTATTTGATGCATCAGTATTGATTTTCAATTTAAGTTTAGATGTTCCATCATAAAACCATAGTAATGGATATTGCGCTAAGGTTTTCTTTAAGGTATCAAAAGACTTTTGACAGTCTGCAGTCCATACGAACCTAGCATTCTTTTCTTTGAAGGCATTGAATGGTGCCGCTACGGTTGCAAAATTTTTGATAAATCTGCGATAGAATTGAGCCATTTGAATGAAAGAATAAGCCGCTTTAGCCGATGTTGGAACAGGAAAATCCATAGTTTTCTTTACGTTGGTAGATGTTGGTTTTATACCGTCTTGTGTAATGCGAAACCCAAGATAGTCAAGTTGTTTGCGCACCAACGAACATTTGTCAGGATTAAGTTTTACGTTGGCTTTCGCCAAGGCAGTCAAGACCAAATCTAAATGTGCCACATGTTTCTCGAAGGATTTTGAATAAATAATGATGTCGTCAAGATAGACTAGCGTAATATCCCACCGAAGTGTACCCAAAATAGAATTCATGATACGCTGAAATGATGCCGGCGCGTTCGACAAGCCGAATGGTAGCACATTGAATTCGAAAAGACCATCAGTCGTTACAAATGCTGTTTTCTTCTTATCTTCCTCTGCGATCGGGATTTGCCAATAACCGGCTTTCAAGTCTAAGGTAGAGAAGTATTGAGAGCCGGCTAACCGGTCAATAATATCGTCTATCCGCGGTAACGGATAAACATCACGTTCAGTAATTAAATTCAAACGCCGGTAGTCTACGCAAAAACGTGGACTACCATCTTTCTTAGGAATAATCACGACCGGAGAAGACCATGGGCTAGAACTTGGACGAATAATACGATTGTCTAGCATTTCCTTGATTTGGTCATTGATAATCTGTGTTTCCTTAAGTGATTTCCGGTAAGGATAGCATTGAATTGGCTGATGATGGGATGGAATTGGTATACGATGGTATACGTCGTTCGATTGTATAGTGGATGCTTTAGATAGATTGAATAGTTGAGTATGTTTCGACAACACATACTTGATTCGATCCTGTTGGTGTTTAGGCAGATGACACAGTAGCTTCGTAAGCGAATCGGTATTGGAGAGATGAGAATTGGATGGTGCTGATTTATGTGTAATACTAGCCATATATGGTGGATGATCTGATAGATCAGAAGGGTCAACATAGTACCACTTTTTGTCTTCATAATACTTGATTTGACCTATAATGGTACCTTTGGTAATTGTTTGTAAAGAAGATGTTGAGTTGAGCAATGTTAATATGGTAGACTTGTCCGTGATTTCGACTAACGCATGTGGTGCAATGATACCTCGTTTATTCAACTTAGCTGATGCTGGGGTGAAAATGGCTGACATCGATGGAGCTGATGTCGAGGCGTTGATAATTTGTGTTGAAAGTGGAGGTATTGAAATGTCGGTTGTCGTCTGGACATTGAAGACTTGCTGGTGGTGTAGTTGTTGGTGAAACTTGACGATCAGATGCTGTGAGTTGATGTTCATAAAAAGATGTTTCTTTCCATAATCGATGTTCACCGTGTGTTGATGACAAAAATCTCCACCCAATAACAAATTGGCACATAAGTCGTCAACAATAAACGTAAGAATAATAGTTGAAATATTATTGATCGAAACAGGTAGATAGATCATTCCACGTACGTTTAGTTGCCCATTATTTGCTGTGTTACATGTAGTTGACGTTGGATGAATATTTTCATTGAGGTTGAGTTGCTGTAAATATGAAGTATTGATAGCGGATATAGATGAACCTGTGTCTATCATAGCACGTGTGTCAATGTTGTTGATTTGGACAAAAATGTGAACCAAGGGAGATGGATTTGTGTAGGAGCGGGTTCCACTACCATCCGGTGGTACCCGTATTAGTTTAAATGAGATGGACATTGATAAGAATAATGGCCAAAACCATAACAATTGTAACATTGCAACTGAAATAAGTCCCTTTGACCACGGTATTTGTTACGCTGAATATTGGAAAATTGTGGTTGGCGGTATGTATGCGAACCTTGTTGCTGCGTTCCTGAAGATCGGTTATTATAATGTGTAGATGGCGGAAATGAACTTCGATGGAGAGCAGCTGAGACCTCATCTGTGTCATCATGGGTTGGGGTAGGCACTGTGGACGAAGGCTGATTCACTGAAGCTGCTGCTTCAGCTCGTTTTGCATGATCCAATAATTCTTGACATGTCAGAGGATTACTCATGATAACATGCTGTTTCACTGAGGGTTTTAAGCCGCGCAGTAAATATAAAATTTTCTCATTGTCCGGCATTTGCATATTAAATCTGGTACATAGTGACAAGACGTCGTAGTAATAGGATTGTATAGATTCATTAATTCCTTGCCGTCGGTTCATCAATTTTGTTGAAATATTTAACATGTGGGTGGAAGATGTGAAAGCCTTGATGAATTGTGTTTTAAAAACATCATATTCGCTACTATGATCTTCGCTTCGATACCACTTTTTGACATCATCGCCAAAGAACATGGAAAGAAAACGTCGGCGATCCGGTTTCTCGACTTTAGCAGCATCAAATAGTTCCTCCATTGATTGAAGCCACGTCGTAGGATCTTGTTCATCAGTGCCATTGAAGACGTCAGATGGTCGAATACTCTTAAGAAGAAGTTGATTTGACAGATGAGAAGACATGCGTTTCTCTGTTTGAGCAAGTTGTTTTGTTGCACAATTAGCAAGATATTGTTCAAAATTTTCTTGTGCTTTATCTTCGGAAATATTACGTGTGCCTACCAGTTTGATGAATGACTATGTTATTACAAGTATTGTTTGTGATGAAGAATTGACAAACAAGTGGCCAGTGCACCAATGATAGAAGGCAATATCTACTTAGTGTTCAGCGGTAGAATAATGACTTTATCAAGATTTGTTTATTCATATTCAATCGAATCTTTATTATGAAAAGACCAGGTTTATATATAAGATTCAAAGGGAAAAAGAACATGACACATATATCATGGATAAAACAGATGACATCATGTGATAACATCTGATCTCATGNTCCCACGAGTCATTATCTACCCAATACAACGATTTCAACGATTGTTGACAGATTGATGCTTGAAGATTGGAATTCGACTTCATCATATGAAAAATTCTATGAATCTTGTGCACCAATATATTGTTCTTATTCAGAAAGTATTCGCAAACACACTTTCCTTGGAATAATGATGATATTAGTGTCAATGATTGGTGGAATTGTTTTATCCTTACGTATTTTAACACCTTATCTCGTCAAATTCACCTTAAGAGTCTTGAGAATATTGGAGACAAAACCAAATCAAACACAACAAAGTAATCATTATGTATATGAAAACATAACGTCTACTCTATTTCTACTCTTAGTTCAACAGAATCGTGTCAATCGATTAAAGGCATTAATACAGAATCTAATTAAGCTTTTACGTACTACATTAATTGAATTAAACATATTTTCATCAAGAGATTTCGTGAGTAATATTGATCGAATGTTAGCAAAAATTTATGGCCGATGGGCAACTCGTCTTTATATCGTCCTATTCATTAGCAGTTTAATTATTTTGATTTTCTATACAATCATTCAACCATATTCTTCACAAACAAGTTTTAAACAACCATCTTTTATGTATTATACTCAATTGAAAGGAATGTATGGTGATAAATTCAAATGTTCATGCTCAAGAATTGCATCAACGTATAATCAATTTGTTCAAATCGAACCAATCTTTCATCCAGTAAGGAACAAAAAAGGATATTTGTTCAATGGATAAATACTTCTATTGTTATTTACAGATTTGTTTAAGTAAATTTGTTTCGAAAGAATGGCGAGATAATCTAACAGATGGTCTCATTCCTAATCTGACTATATATGAACAAAGAGATTATCGTCGATTTCTTTCTGCTCATTTGCAATACCTTCAAGGTTTATGTCAACTTTCTAAACGAACAGTAAATAATTTTATAAATGAATTTTTAACATCATTATTAGTCACTGTTGAACTTCTCTCGGAGCATAATTTTGATCATCACTTGAATATATCAATCGAACAAAGTAAATTAAAAGCACCTGCGCTATTTTCTCGTCTTCTTTTCTTTACTCAAAGTATTATACATGGAAATGCTCTTATATCAACTTATGGAACGAATTTCAAATATATCAACATCATAGATGGTTCTGCACAAACTCGTGCACCTACAGAAGCATTAATCTATGACGATAATTGTTCGTGTGGTTTGTCTCCAAAATGTACAACTCAAGCAGTTTTCATTGAAACAAATACATCAGAAAATGTTTCTGTTAATGGTATGAGAATTGGTTGTACACCAAGTGAATCACTTCTTGCTTCAACTCTTGAGTGTTTCTATGATCAATTATGTATTAATCTTATTCAACAGTATACTAATTATCCCAACTCTTCAACGCCTCTCCCAACAAACTCAAGTCGTTTTTCCCAAAATACAACAGTCGATGAACTTCAACGTCGTTTATTCATTGAACGATGGTCAACACATAAGAATTATTCATCGTATTATGATCAATGTTCGCCATTATCATGCTCGTATACAACTATTGAAAAATTTAATATTTTTAATATATTCACTCTTATACTTGGTCTACATGGTGGTTTGACAATGGTTCTCCGATGGATCTGTCCAAAGTTTATTCAAATTGGGCTAAAGATCTATCATTATCGAAAAAGACGAACGGTTACTGTTCATCCTACGAATTCAACGGTGCAACATACTACTTGGAATTGTGCCAATGAACCAACGAATATAACAAACCGGTAAGTCAATTACGTATATTATTTCTTTTAATCTATATACATATACAAAGAGTTTTTTTGTTTAGAAATAATGTTATAACACATACTCGCTCGATGTCCAAGATCGTATTTATCATTATGCTACTACTAAGTACTTTAATAGGAATTATTACTTTTTCAATATATTATATTCGACAAGGTAAGAGTCAAATTAAATAGCGTTTCATTTGTTTTTCTCTGATCGATTTTACAGAGAATATACCAATCAGTAATACTTCAAATACGTCGCTAAGTACAACAATGTCAACATATTCAAGCACACTAATATCTTTCGAGCCACTATGTCAATTGAAAGTTCAACGATTAGCACTTAATCCACTATGCACATGTATGATTTCTGGTCCATATTTGATTGCTGATCTAAATGATGACAATCAAGTTGACTTCATCTTTTCCTGTGATGGGAATTCGACGGTCAATGTACTTTTCGCGAATTCTAATTGCTCGTCTCAGATATACATACCGACTTTGATATCTATAACTATAACTCAGATTTATGTTAATGATATGAACAACGATGAACAAGCCGATATCATTCTAGTAAATAATAATATGTACAGCACATCTATCTATATTTTATTTGGTAATAACGGTGAGCCGTTTCAATGGCAAGATTGGAAAATATTATTTTTGGCTGAACCCACAGTTGATCTTAGTATAATTGATCTTAATAATGATAATACATTGGATGTGATTGGCGTGGGTGAAAAAGGCGATAAAATTTATTTCTATTTTGGAAATGGTGCTGGAACGTTCACGACACAGATTTTAACATTATTTTCAGAATTTATTATTGACCCGAAACAATTGATTGTTGTTGATTTTGATAATGATACTTGTTTAGATATAGCTGTATTAGATGGCAGATCTTTTCATATGCATGTGTTCTTTGGTAATACTAATGGAAGTTTTCAATTACAGAAACAGATTTTTACTGGATTTTTTAAAACATTATTTCGATTGGTTACTGGTGATTTTGATGGTGATCATCAATCAGATGTCGTTTTTCTTCACAGTTGGAAAGATACCATTTCCATTTTATATCAATATAAGAATGGAACGTTTCATTTTAATGAGCAAATTGTTATCGAAACAGCAGTTTTATCATTAAATTCAGAATCTATCGCTCTACATGATCTAAATAACGATAATAATTTAGACATTATTATTGGTTCACCTTCATCAAATGAAATCTATGGTCTAATGGGAAATGGAAAAGGAAAATTTCATGTACAAATTCTATATNATACCATTTCCATTTTATATCAATATAAGAATGGAACGTTTCATTTTAATGAGCAAATTGTTATCGAAACAGCAGTTTTATCATTAAATTCAGAATCTATCGCTCTACATGATCTAAATAACGATAATCATTTAGACATTATTATTGGTTCACCTTCATCAAATGAAATCTATGGTCTAATGGGAAATGGAAAAGGAGAATTTCATGCACAAATTCTATATCCGAATAAACTCGATGATTCTTCAAATAACATCAATGTTGACACTTGTCAAAATATTATTAATGCGAATGCTGTGTCTAATATGTTATATATTCTTTTAAAACCGTGTCAATGTCTAACAGATCAGATCGCGTCTTAAATCCTATGCTTTGATTTGTTTTGCATTATCACTCGTCATATCGGTATTTCTATAGAGTCCAAAAATACTTATACTTATTCCTTTGCTAATTGTCACTTTCAGTTCATTTATTTTCTTTAATGGCCAATCTTTTCGCCACCGGTGATTAAAACTTTGCCCGAATGAAGCAGAGTAGCAGCGTGCGAAGCACGCGGGATGGATAGTTTTCCAGTAGGTTTCCATGTACCCGTAGATGGGTCGTAGAGTTCTGATGTATCGCGATAGCCAGCACCTCCGTAACCAGCAGTAGCGAGAATTTGATTTGAATCGAGTAGAGTTGTAGTATGAGAAGATCGTGATTCCGTCATACCACTTGTATTACTCCATTTGCCAGTGGATGGATCATATATCTCACAATTAGATATAAAATTGTCATCGTTTACGCCACCACTAACTAGAACGTTGCCGGAACTGAGTAGAACTGATGAATGACGTGCACGGGGAACCGATAAATTGGACGTTGGATGCCATTCGTTCATTTTTGAATTATATAGTTCCGAGCTAGGCGAATATCGAGCTGACTGAACGCCACCTGTGAGAAGAACTTCGCCTGAATTTAGTAATGTTGCAACTGAATTGTAACGTGATACTTCTACCATTCTTGCAAGAGAAGTCCAAAGGCCTGTAGATGGATCATAGACTTCCGAAAAAGCACCATCACTAGCAACAAGTACTTTGCCCGACGGGAGTAAAGTTGCCGTGTGAGAAGAACGTGGTATCGTTAAATTTCCAGTAAAACTCCATTTGTCCGTATTCGGATCGTATAGTTCACAAGTAGCGAGAGCATTCTTTTCGAAAGTCACGCCGCCGACGACAAGAACGTGGCCAGAATTGAGTAAAGTGACTGTATGAAAAGATCGGGGCACTGCCATACTTCCAGCACTGGACCATTGACCCGTTAATGGATCATAGATTTCAGAATGATTTGTATAACCAGTTAAACCTTCGCCGCCAGTGACAAGAACTTTACCGGATTTCAGCACGGTTGCAGCATGTTGTTCCCGTCCTTGTGCTAAACTTCCCGTAACACTCCAGGTACCTGACGATGGATCATATATTTCCGATATGGCAATGATATTGGCAGAACGATCACCAGTATTCAATCGTGTTCGATATAAACGATTTGAAGAATAAATATTCGATTCAGCTCCATTGAAGAAGATACTAAATCGAGATGAACGTGATTTTCATTATCCTTCTCACTTCTTTTGAATGCAAGTACTCNGTCCTTGTGCTAAACTTCCCGTAACACTCCAGGTACCTGACGATGGATCATATATTTCCGATATGGCAATGATATTGGCAGAACGATCACCAGTATTCAATCGTGTTCGATATAAACGATTTGAAGAATAAATATTCGATTCAGCTCCATTGAAGAAGATACTAAATCGAGATGAACGTGATTTTCATTATCCTTCTCACTTCTTTTGAATGCAAGTACTCACATTGATATTATTATAAAGCATGGAACAAGATGAGTTATCGGTGTCATTGAAAAGCAAAATTTTATCGAAAGAAAAAAATGTATTTCAAGCCTTTTAACCATGATACAAGCAAAAAACACACACCATATTTCAAATTTCTCACTATGACGACACACAGTTTCTTTTCTTTTCTTTTCTTTTCTTTTCTTTTGACCTTGAAATCCACACACTCAGAGCCTTAGTATATAAAGGTAATGAAAATAAAAAACGCGAACAAGTTCAATGCTAATGATTTCGAATTCGTCGATAGTATTGAGCATTTGCTTGGCGGAATCGATGCTGTTTCATTACTTGCTGGTTCTATAATAAATGAAAATGCTTGCCGGATATTCTTCAAAAGATTTCTTACCTGGAGTTGTCGTTGATGAAGAGATCAAATCTAAAGAGAGAAGAAAAAATAAAAGAAAGTGTAAACATGGACAACGAAGAAAAATGACACACCGATTGGATCCGATGTTGATGTTGTTGTCGTCGTTATTGATGTTGACGTAATCAAACCAAGTTCAACATTTGACTTCTGAGTCAAATTATTTCGTAAATACTTTAGAAACTTTGTACCCGTGTACAAGACCGAGGATGTATCTAACTGATTGTTTACTAAAGTGTCTACTATCATTCTTACGGTCGCATCCGAAACTTCCGCTGTCGCTGATGGTAGTAACGAAACTTTAACTAATGTTATCATCTTTTGTTGTATTTCATCATAGTAGGCTTGGAGGGAAAGGTACATAATTCTTGTTGGATCAACTTGAGCAGCTTTAGCTAAATCAAATATGATTGTTGTTTTGAAATAGTCACCGAGAGAAGAGGACGAATCATATGGGATGTCCAAATAGAGCTCTGCGGGTTGAATATAATCTTTATAAGGTGTTTTAAACAAACATCCTGAGACTAATTCTGTAACCTGTGTATCAAATAATGACGGTGTTTCGTAATGTACTGGTATATAATGTGAAATAAATGAGTTGATACTATCGCCGAAAGTGATATCNATAGATTTCAGAATGATTTGTATAACCAGTTAAACCTTCGCCGCCAGTGACAAGAACTTTACCGGATTTTAGTACAGTTGCAGCGTGTTGTTCACGTCCTTGTGCTAAACTTCCCGTAACACTCCAGGTACCTGACGATGGATCATATATTTCCGATATGGCAATGATATTGGCAGAACGATCACCAGTATTCAATCGTGTTCGATATAAACGATTGGAAGAATAAATATTCGATTCAGCTCCATTGAAGAAGATACTAAATCGAGATGAACGTGATTTTCATTATTCTTCTCGCTTCTTTTGAATGCAAGTACTCACATTGATATTATTATAAAGCATGGAACAAGATGAGTTATCGGTGTCATTGAAAAGTAAAATTTTAGCGAAAGGAAAAAAATGTATTTCAAGCCTTTTAACCATGATGCAAGGAAAAAACACGTCATATTTCAAATTTCTCATGATGATGACACGCAGTTTATTTCTTTTTTTTGACCTTGAAATCCATGCACTCAGAGCCTTAGTATATAAAGGTAATGAAAATAGAAAACGCGAACAAGTTCAGTGTTGATGATTTCGAATTCGTCGATAGTACTGAGCATTTGCTTGATGGGATCGATGCTGTTTCATTACTTGCTGGTTCTATAATGAATGAAAATGTTTGCCGGATATTCTTCCAAAGATTTCTTACCTGGACTTGTCGTTGATGAAAAGACCAAATCTAAAGAGAGAAGAAAGAATGAAAGTGCGAACATGGATAACGAAGAAAAATGACACACCGATTGGATCTGATGCTGTTGTTGTTGTTGTTGTCGTCGTTATTGATGTTGACGTAAGCAAACCAAGTTCAACATTTGACTTCTGAGTCAAATTATTTCGTAAATACTTTAGAAACTTTGTACTCGTGTACAAGACCGAGGATGTATCCAACTGATTGTTTACTAAAGTGTCTACCATCATTCTTACGGTCGCATCCGAAACTTCTGCTGTCGCTGATGGTAGTAACGAAACTTTAACTAATGTTATCGTCTTTTGTTGTATTACATCATAGTAGGCTTGGAGGAAAAGGTACATAATTCTTGTTGGATCAACTTGAGCAGCTTTAGCTACATCAAATATGATTGTTGTTTTGAAATAGTCACCGAGAGAAGAGGACGAATCATATGGGATGTCCAAATAGAGCTCTGCGGGTTGAATATAATCATTATGAGGTGTTTTAAACAAACATCCTGAGACTAATTCTGTAACCTGTGTATCAAATAATGACGGTGTTTCGTAATGTACTGGTATATAATGTGAAATAAATGAGTTGATACTATCGCCGAAAGTGATATCAAAAGTCACCAACGTTTTGCGTATACCAAATTGAACATGATATTGTGATAGATGCTCAGTACTGCATGCATCCGACGGGTAAGACCAATGATATANAGGTGTTTTAAACAAACATCCTGAGACTAATTCTGTAACCTGTGTATCAAATAATGACGGTGTTTCGTAATGTACTGGTATATAATGTGAAATAAATGAGTTGATACTATCGCCGAAAGTGATATCAAAAGTCACCAACGTTTTGCGTATACCAAATTGAACATGATATTGTGATAGATGCTCAGTACTGCATGCATCCGACGGGTAAGACCAATGATATAACGAAGGTTTGTTACTATTATAATCGTACGTATTTGAATAAAGTGCAGCAAATGGTGGGTATTGAAATAGAGTTTCTAATCGGAGAAAACCTTCGGTTCTAATAGCCACATCAAATACCACCGCTGACATTCTCAAGCGTGGCTGAAGAGCGACATCAACTACAACTCGTGCTTTAAAGTCGCCTTTCACTGGATAATACGATTGTGATAATGTTATTGATTGTACAGGTGTGATCTTTGTACCAACAATATATAACTGTAAAACTGTGTTCAATTGATATCTAACACCAGTAGATAAACGTCCTAATGAGTTTAGTTCAATCGAGTATGGTAATTCCAAGTCAAGAAAACAACCATAATCGAATGATATACCAGCGAGTGAGAAAGTGAATCCCAGCAAAGTAAAAGTATTCAGATATTTGTTACCAGAAGTTTGATAAATATAATTCGCTGATAACAGCAGTTCGAGATTAACAGTTGCAGTCGATTGAAATTTGATATTCATATCAGTGAGAGAACCGAGATTAGCGCTGAGATCTAAATGTACAATACTGTAATCATACACCATATAACAATTAGTACATGTTAAATCAATAGACATGGCTTGACCATCATTACACAATCGTGCAACGGTTGGGTTATTATTTGTGTCACAGCCAGCGTGAAGTAAGGAAATTTGACTAGTTGCACGATCTTGCTGTGCATTGTAATTCCATCCTCCAGTTCTGTGAACTGGAAGTTGAAAATGTGATCCTTCAACAGAGCAAGTTGACAAAATATCATACCAACTGCACCAATCAAATTCATAGTAATAACCGAATACGGATGTTTCAACTGTTATGACATGATTGCATACGCCTGTCGATACACTTTGACAATGTGATAGAACCGATTCCGGATCTTTTGCTAATGGTAGACTTTGTCTTAACTTAATGCAAAAGTTACTAGCAGATTTGGAGTCGAAATTTTTCGCTATCCATTTTATGCTAACGGTGTCACCTGGAGAGAACTGATCGTCTGTAGTTGGTAAAAGAGGAACTAAATATGGACTGGTAGGTACGTAAAAACGAGTCGATTCACTTGAATAAGTATCTAAACAATAGAACAAAGATTATCAATCAGTCAGCGTTGATTTCATCAGAGGAAAGTATTGTTGTTACTCACCGACCAAAGTATTAATCCATGAGCAATGAGACCAATCAAGACTGAAATAATATTGATCATTGTTATCTGCTACGTCGATATTTGTTGGTATAGTAAATTGGTAGAAACCTTTTGATGGCGATACCCACGCATATGCAACTGTTGAATCGGGTCCCAATCTTTCGCGATTCAATAGCAATTTAACTGTGATACCTGATGGAAAACTTGCTCTTTGTACTGCCCATTGAATGAGAACAGTATCACCCGGAAAGTGTATCGAATGATATACTGGATTACCTTGAGTAATCGAAATGACAGGTGCAGTAGGTATTCGAAAGTGATTTGTCGAATGCAAATAAGGAATGCCACAGTTCCACCAGAAAAAGTCAACGAAATAAGTCTCACGTGTAGATATTTCTAGCACTGACGGTATAATCAGATGTGCAGAGTATCGTGTAACAGGAATGTTCCATGTCACGATATCTGCAGCTAGACCAATTATACGTGTACGTTTCAGTATTACTTCAAACACTTTAGATTTATCGAAATCGCTGTTTAACGACCAGGCCAGGTCTATTTGTTGGCCTGGATAGAAGATCTGATCAGTATAGGGTTGTCTAGTGATGTATACCGAATCGGAATCACAGATTGACCACCACCTTCCGTTCGACGTCGAGTTTTCTGTTGTTGTTAAGTTTTGTGCCAATGGTACAGTCGTCGTCGTGGTTGTTTCTTGTACCGTGTTTGTACTAGTAAAAGTTGTAGTGCTCGAAGCTGGTTTGTTTCCTGATGGTGCTTCTTGTACAGCTATCATTTGAAGGGACAGTTTTTCGAAACAAACAACTGGTGTGATGCCTGTGTCATTGGTGACGCCGACAGTTATTTCATTGTCAGCTAATATGAAAGTATTTGGTATCAATTTCTTCATAATTAGAATAAGTTTCCCTGTTGTTGAGTTCNCCGTGTTTGTACTAGTAAAAGTTGTAGTGCTCGAAGCTGGTTTGTTTCCTGATGGTGCTTCTTGTACAGCTATCATTTGAAGGGACAGTTTTTCGAAACAAACAACTGGTGTGATGCCTGTGTCATTGGTGACGCCGACAGTTATTTCATTGTCAGCTAATATGAAAGTATTTGGTATCAATTTCTTCATAATTAGAATAAGTTTCCCTGTTGTTGAGTTCGTGCAATTCCATTCTTTTCCTCCATTAACATACTGAACATTCGTGTCAAGCCATTGGTTGTATGTATAAGCGCTGTTGACTGCCGTATCGAAAATCATCTTTATTGTAGACTGAAGACATATAACAGATTGTAGTGATTCGATGAGATTGAGTGCAATGCATGCAGTTTGATTTAATTTTGTTGTCGCATTCAGTTCAAGAGATTTCAATTGATCAATGACCATATGAGACGATGAGCTCGCTGTACTTCTCGATTTCGTTTGAAGATCTTGTTTCGTAACTGTTAATTTCTGTTCTACCACATCAGTGTGCAATGGTAAACCAGTGCGCGAGTCCGTGCTTACACCATCGGATGCTTGAAATAGTGTATTGAAAGTTGGACGTGCACAAGAACTGATGTGAATCGCATTGAGGATCACAAAAAGACAGTAGAAATGTCTTGTTAATCTCATGGTATCGTGATTTGATTTTTGAAAGTGAAAGCGATGAAATATGTGGGATTTATATGCTGACAACGAAACAAACTGCGTTGTTGTCAGTGAGAAATTTTCTAACCTTTTAAACTGTTTAAATACTGAAGAACGAAAAGGTACAGCAAGCATTTCGATGAAATTTTATGTCTCGAGAGGTGAAATGCGTCACAAAAATTCTTTTAAGTGCTTTATTCGTTAGCGATGTTTGAAAGTTAGACGTTGATCCAAGGGGGAAACAGCGGATTAGGAATTTTAATAATCATCTAATCACTCATAATCAATAGTAATCGCATATAATCATTTCTAATCAACACTAATCACTTCTAATCAATACTAATCATCTATAATCAATTGAAGTCGTTTAAATTTGACAGAGAGACTTTATTAAGCACACGGTTCTTTTCTGTGAAAGCATGGGTTAATATCAAGGGGGGAACAGCGGATTAGGAGTTTAAAAAATCATCTAATCACTCATAATCAATACTAATCACATATAATCAATATAATCAACATTAATCAATAATCCGCTGTTTCCCCCTTGCGTTGATCCGATCATAAGAGTTTATGTGAAAATATTTTTCTTCTTTTTCTTTTATTTTTTGAATCGAAATGCGTCTTATTTCGTCACACTCAATACAAGTTATGAACTTTGATCGGATTGAAATAATTTCGTTAATGTCTCTTGCAACGGCACTAGTTCTCTACCAAGGATTTGTTGTAGAAGAGGATCAACGACAGCGGCTTCTCCTCTTTCCAATGCTTTGAAAGTCGTCGACCATTTTCGTAAAAAATCTTCATCACCAATCGAATAAGGCGGCGTTGTATGTGGTTGTTTGTGTTGTTCAACATAATCGTTAACAGAGACGACTCGAAAAGTGATTGGGCGTTGAAGAATCTTTGCAAATATCTCACTAACACCTGAAATCGTGATCGATGTTGAACCGGTAAGTAGCAACGTTTCTTGTTCATATCCACCCTATATTAATTTTCAATAAATATGTAAACATGACAATCCTATCGCACTCACCTTCGCCATCAATTTTGNCCGTGTTTGTACTAGTAAAAGTTGTAGTGCTCGAAGCTGGTTTGTTTCCTGATGGTGCTTCTTGTACAGCTATCATTTGAAGGGACAGTTTTTCGAAACAAACAACTGGTGTGATGCCTGTATCATTAGTGACGTCGACAGTTATTTCATTGTCAGCTAATATGAAAGTATTTGGTATCAATTTCTTCATAATTAGAATAGGTTTCCCTGTTGTTGAGTTCGTGCAATTCCATTCTTTTCCTCCATTAACATACTGAACACTCGTGTCAAGCCATTGCTTGTATGTATAAGCGCTGTTGACTGCCGTATCGAAAATCATCTTTATTGTAGACTGAAGACATATAACAGATTGTAATGATTCGATGAGATTGAGTGCAATGCATGCAGTTTGGTTTAATTTTGTTGTCGCATTCAGTTCAAGAGATTTCAATTGATCAATGACCATATGAGACGATGAGCTCGCTGTACTTCTCGATTTCGCTTGAAGATCTTGTTTCGTAACTGTTAATTTCTGTTCTACCATATCAGTGTGCAATGGTAAACCAGTGCGCGAGTCCGTACTTACACCATCGGATGCTTGAAATAGTGTATTGAAAGTTGGACGTGCACAAGAACTGATGTGAATCCCATTGAGGATCACAAAAAGACAGTAGAAATGTCTTGTTAATCTCATGGTATCGTGATTTGATTTTTGAAAGTGAAAGCGATGAAATATGTGGGATTTATATACTGGCAACGAAACAAACTGCGTTGTTGTCAGTGAGAAATTTACCAACCTTTTAAACTGTTGAAATATTGAAAAAAAAAGGTACAGCAAGCATTTCGATGAAATTTTATGTCTCGAGAGATGAAATGCGTCACAAAAATTCTTTTAAGTGCTTTATTCGTTAACAATGTTTGAATGTTAGATGTTGGCCGAACCATAAAAGAATTTACGTGTGTAAATATTTTTCTTCTTCTTTTTTCAAAATCAAAATACGTCTTATCCCGTCATACTCAATACAAATTATGAATTTTCATCGGATTGAAATAGTTTCGTTAAAGTATTTTTTAACGGCACTAGTTCTCTACCAAGGATCTGTTGTAGAAGAGGATCAACGACAGCTGCCTCCTCTCTTTCCAATGCCTTGAAAGTCGTCGCCCACTTTCGTAAAAAATCTTCATCGCCAGTTGGATAAGGTGGTGTTGAATGTGGTTGTTTGTGTTGTTCAACATAATCGTTAACAGAGACGACTCGAAAAGTGATTGGGCGTTGAAGAATCTTTGCAAATATCTCACTAACACCTGAAATCGTGATCGATGTTGAACCGGTAAGTAGCAAAGTTTCTTGTTCATATCCGCCCTATATTAATTTTCAATAAATATGTAAACATGACAATCCTATCACACTCACCTTTGCCATCAATTTTGCAGTTCCTTCACCAAGATCATCGATACATACCCAAGCAATCGGACCGTCACCTGGGACGCATACTTCGTGATCGTTTACATGATTAAAAAAGCCAGTATACAGTGAATAACTTTCCGAGTATAGACCTTCGCGTAATATCGTATATGTTAAGCCACTTTTCTTCAGATATGCTTCTGTATCGAGATGAGCTTGCATGACATGAGCCACACTATCGATCAGATGACCTTGTGTATCAGTACCAAACATGAGAGAAGTATAATAGACATGTTTAACATTTGCTCGTTTCGCTGCATCGATGGCGATGACATGATGTTTGACACGAAATTCATGTTCAATACTGGGCACTGAGACGAGCAGTAATCTTTCAGCATCTTTGAAAGCAATGTCTAAGAGTTCAGGTTTACTGAAATCACCCTCACGAATTTCGACATTGGAAGAGGTAATTTCGGGTGGAATTTTCGATGTATTACGAACCATAACCGCGATGTCAGAAGCTGGTACAAGATCAAGAAGATGTCTGAACACTTTCGATCCTAACTGACCAGTGACGCCCGTGAGAACAAACTTCACCATGTTGCACGTGTGTATAGTTATCGACGAAAATGAATGAATCGACCGCGTGTCTCGAAAAAAGAAAAGAAAGAAGAGCTAGAGAAAGAATAGACGATCAATCGGACGGGCCATTAGTGCATTGTAAGTACATCGTTACATAGAATTAAAAATTGCATCGTCATCTTCTATTACAAACTGTACTGGAATTAAAAAAGACATACAGTCACATGTTTAATGAAGTCACTAAATCTAAAACTAGGTACGATGTAGTGTTAATCGTAAAAGCCCTTTCTGCTTCTTGTTCAAAATTAAATTCATCGTACTGTAATTCTTGTGAATCGTTGCGTCATATATTTGATGTCCGAAGTACGATAAAATCACTGTAATGCTTATTGTAATTATCCATACTTTCGTACACGACACCGATCGAATGATATCAGTGAGCAAGTTGCAAACAATGCTCCTTAATTTTTGACTGTATATTTGAATAAATCGGTAATGCATGTCCTTTTCAAATCTTTAACACTAAACTGTATTTGTTTGGGTATATAATTATATACGAATCCGTCATCAGCATGTGACTTCTCATAAGGAATATGTACTGGCCTTATGACGTTGCATTTTGTTCACGTTTTTATGAATTAAACTTGAGCTGAAAAGTGTATCACACATCCAATTATCTGAACTTTCATTTTGAATTAAAAGATATCCGTCGAAAGTTTCGATTGTTAATTTACGTTCATAATTGCTGCAATAGACTAAGTCTAATTTTAGTAAAGATTTCGTCATTTACATGGAATCGTTCCGCGTAAAGAATAAATTCATACTTGCGACTGACTCTCCTTTTGTTTAGATTCAGTTAGGATACGATTAAGGATCATTTCTCTCATTTCGGATCATAATTTCTCAAAATCAGTAACATTTCATTAACTGATTCCCGTTCAAGAGTACAAACATCATTCAACGCGCAATGTAGTCGATGGTGTCGAATGATCATTCTTTTCGTAGGATTTCGTTCAATGGAGTGTGAANTTAAGCCACTTTTCTTCAGATATGCTTCCGTGTCGAGATGAGCTTGCATGACATGAGCCACACTATCGATCAGATGACCTTGTGTATCAGTACCAAACATGAGAGAAGTATAATAGACATGTTTAACATTTGCTCGTTTCGCTGCATCGATGGCGATGACATGATGTTTGACACGAAATTCATGTTCAATACTGGGCACTGAGATGAGCAGTAATCTTTCAGCATCTTTGAATGCAATATCCAAGAGTTCGGGTTTACCGAAATCACCTTCGCGAACTTCAACATTGGAAGAGGCGATTTCGGGTGGAATCTTCGATGTACTGCGAACTACAACGGCGATGTCAGAAGCTGGTACAAGATCAAGAAGATGTTTGAAGACTTTCGATCCTAACTGACCAGTGACGCCCGTGAGAACAAACTTCACCATGCTGTACGTGTGTATACTTATCGAAGAAAGCAGATGACTGAATAAACCGGTCGCATATCTCTAAAAAGGAAAAGAAAGAAGAGCGGGAGAGAGAATAGACGATCAATCGGACGGGCGATAGTGCATCGTCATATGCAATTAAAAATTGCATCGTCACGTTCTATTACAAGCTGCACTCGAATAAAAAAGACATGCTGTCACACGTTTAATGAAGTCAATAAATCTAAAACTAGGTACGATGTAGTGTTAATCGTAAAAGACATTTCTGCTTCTTCTCGTTCAAAATTAAATCCATCGTACTGTAACTCTTGTGAATGGTTGCGTCATATATTTGGTGTCCGAAGTATGATGAAATCGCTGTAATGCTTATTATAATTATCCGTACTTTCGTACACGACATCGATCGAATGATATCATTGGACAAGTTTCAAACAGCGCTCCTTAATTTTTGACTGTATATTTGAATAAATTGATAATGCATATCCTTTTCAAATCTTTAACACTAAACTGTATTTGTTTGGGTATATAATTATATACGAATCCGTCATCAGCATGTGACTTCTCATAAGAAATATGTACTGGCCTTATGACGTTGCATTTTGTTCACGTTTTTATGAATTAAACTTGAGCTGAAAAGTGTATCACACATCTAATTATCCGGACTTTCATTTTGAATTAAAAGACATCCGTCGAAAGTTTCGATTGTTAATTTACGTTCATGATTGCTGCAATAGACTGAGTCTGATTTTAGTAAAGATTTCGTCACTCACATGGAATCGTTCCGCATAAAGAATAAATTCATACTTGCGACTGACTCTCATTTTGGATCATAATTTCTCAAAATCAGTAACATTTCATTAACTGATTCCCGTTCAAGAGTACAAACATCATTCAACGCGCAATGTAGTCGATGGTGTCGAATGATCATTCTTTTCGTAGGATTTCGTTCAACGGAGTGTGAATACCAAGTCGGCATCTGCACCGCTGATGGCTTGTATGTTTTCTAAAGTACGTCGATTTGTTTCAACTGAAACTGTTTGTTGATNGGATCATAATTTCTCAAAATCAGTAACATTTCATTAACTGATTCCCGTTCAAGAGTACAAACATCATTCAACGCGCAATGTAGTCGATGGTGTCGAATGATCATTCTTTTCGTAGGATTTCGTTCAATGGAGTGTGAATACCAAGTCGGCATCTGTACCGCTGATGGTTTGTATGTTTTCTGAAGTACGTCGATTTGTTTCAACTGAAACTGTTTGTTGATGTAAGAGATGATTAATTAGCTCACCGTTGCTACTAGATGCTTTAGTTTTCAAACGAATGTCTTTCACCTAGAAAATCTTTCACAAAACCGAACAACTCGAGAAAATGTAAGGATTACTTCTCTGAGATCTTTATCTCACATTGAATAGCATTCGATATTTGTTTCAAATTATGAATATCTGGTGCAAATTGGTTTCCATGACTATCGAAAAGAATTTGGAAGAAGGTTTCATTAGTAGATGATCGAATTGTTTCTTCATATCTCAGTAGATTCTCAAAAACTTTGAATTCATAGTTACTGACAAGATATTCATCATTTTTGGCATTTGTGCCGAAAGAAATTAATAAATATGACACGGTATCGCCTTCTCACTGATGATCACTTCTATTGACACAAGTCATTTAGGATAAGAATATCTAAGAGACATTCGAGAGTCATTTTCTATTTTTCTTTCTCTTTCTAGTTGATAAAACGACGTGTAACTTTATCTTTTGTTGAAATAGAAGATGGACACTCATCATATAAAGCTTCGTTTGGTATGCAGCGAATTCCTTCTAGTCGTTACTGCGAGACCGTGAGTCTAACTGCAAGAGTGCGCGTGCCTACACTCCGTTCACAACTGAATGATTCTCGTAGGATATTTTTGCGGTTATAGAATTTATTTTCGGATCAAATTTGATTAAATTTGTGACAATAGTTTGTAGGTTTCAAACGTTGTTCTTCTATAGAAATTAGTTAAAATTGGTTAGGTTTAGAGTAATTAGCACTCCAATTTTGTTGTGGCCTTGTGTTCATCGGCAGTATATTAGTAGATGATCGCATCATGTTGTTGTTGTTACGTGGGACTTGAGTATTAAACATGGCATTCTTTGTTAAAGGTACTGCATTTCGTTCATAATAATTTCCGGGATCGTTGATCGAAGACGCTGACAATGATTTCGGTGGATTAACATTGTTTGTTTGGCTTTTAGATCTTAGCTGATCTCTGTATGGGAAATACTCATCAGTATTTGTTCCAGCTGCTGCTATTTGGTTTCTTTGCGTATTGTTACGTTCTTTCTGTCTAATCTAAAACTCACAAGATCTAAATTGGAGGGGGTACAAAAAATGAAGCAACCTACCTCCTGCAGACGTTGATCTAACTTTTGCCGTTCTTCACTTCTAATCTACAATAACATAAATAGAATTAACATACTTAGCTATGCTCTTTGGACTTTAATTAAACCTCTTGTTCGCGTTGTTTCGCCTTTTGTTGTTCTTCCGCACGGACCTAAAATTAAGAAAAGCAAGAGCGTGAGTGTATTATGTTCATATACTATTCGAGGTACCTGTTCAACGAGCGTCTGTTCGTATGCTATCTGTCTCTGTCGCTCTTCTCTCAAGCGACGTCTCGTCTCTCTTCGTTTTGTAGCTTCGATACGTTGATATTCGGCATTCGTATAATAATCGCCATGATTATTTTCTATCATTGTCTCGACCATGGCTAGTAATTCATCTGTTTTCTCTTGCAATGAATCACCATTCAGTCTGTTGTTGATTGCAAATATGCGATGTTCGCAATTGACAACCAATCGTCTCAATTCCTTAGACTCGCTAATGAAATCATGGATATCTTGATCTTCATCGAGTTGATCTGCATGAGTGAAAATGATGATACAGTATCGGAAAGCATCGGGACCGAAAATATTTTTGATGAATTCAATGGTGTCACTCTCTTCAGGTGTGAATCGCCCAATGCGAATAGTTATCAGAAAAGCGTGCACACCTGGCGATGTCATCGGAAAGATCTCTGAACTAATCGTTTCTTGTATTGTTTGATTTGTTCTAGCTGTATCGGAATCGAAAAAGCCGGGTGTATCGACAACGATGAGTTTCTTCTCTTGACCATCGACATCGATGAAGTCACGAAATTTGGCTTCGCAGCTTTTAGTGATCGATATGGATGATTGTGCTGAACGAAAACCGCACCGAGTATGTAATAATGCATTTCCAGTCGAACTTTTGCCTTAAATACAAGATATCTATACATACGAAAGAGAAAACTGACCAGGACAGATCCTACCACTTCCTGTTCTTCCAATGAGCACTATGCGAATCTCGTCTTTCGAATTATTCTATGAAAATTTAATATTATTTAAAATATTACATCTGTTTTGTAGTTTAACACATACCATAGGTTTTGCATCTGCTATTGGTGCGATTTGGGTTCCTATAAAAAATATTCATTGAAAATAAAACAGCAAAGCAAGTGTGACTAATTTTCATTTCGATACATCGACGATTAAAACTAATGCATTCCCCAACGTGTTTATCGTCCCTGGTATTCTATGAGCTTTAGACTAACGTTGTAAGTATATGCAAGGAGTATTCAACCTGCTTCTTTTTCAAAGTTTAGTTTAAAAAAGAGTCAATTCTGTAGCTCCAGATCTGTTTCCTCAGTTAATGATCTATTAGTATTTGTATTCATGCAAGCAAAATAGATACTAACCGCTTGCTACCATTGGCTTACGTTCTTCTTCGTTCATGTGCACTATAAAAAAGCGGTTTTCAAAATTCAGCGATTTGTTGTTAACACGAACACGTGTTCCTGGTATAAGAACCACTTCTTTCTCTTCTTCAAATACAGAATATGCTGATATATCTTTGCCGTGGATTGTATCAATGGCGAATACAGTGCTTTTCTTGCCTAGATATGCTTCGACAACGTTGAGGGCTCTCGAACATGAATTGACGCTCCACCAAACATGTAAATCGTTGTTCTCGAAATCAGCACCAACATCCGTCGCGACACCTCGCCAAACCGTAGTACGCTGAAGCGATGGTAATTTCTCAAGAGCAGTTATAAACAGTTTCAGATAGCTAAACCAGGGCTTGAGTTTATGTCGATCGCCTGCTCTTAGTGCGTCATTGAGATTACTAAAGAACGATATAGGCATCGTGTAAAGATAGATTGCAGCTGACTCGTCCACAGTCAAGAGATTCGAATGTTGATTACAATCTTCTTTTGCTTGAGCAACATATTTTATTAGGCCAGGGATTTTTGGAGAAATTTTCTCCACCGTTTTCTCTAGTGGTAATACTGGTAGATGTTGATAACCGTATATTGGAGAACGGTTTGCTGTTTGAAGTTCTGAGATCGCATTATATGTAAAGCGAGTATATCTTGCATGCTCGTCAGGCTTTGTAAACTTCGGACCCATTTTCCAGAATAAAGACAATTTTAAAAAATGAGCAATCGACTGCAGTTCGACTATGAAATTTCTCGTGATGTTGCATCCATGTATAGTTTAAACAACAACTTTAAGAATGAAAACACATGGTCGCATTTGTTCTCTTAGTTTTTTTCTTACCTCTAAAGTTGCGTCGTGTCGAATAGAAGAAAGAACATTACTTATCAGGATGCTTCAAGATTAAATCGTCGTTTTTATTTTGCGTAGCTGATTCCATAAACCACCTTCGTACTTTTCTTACCATCTTGAGCTTATCAAATTTTAAATTGACTAACGTAGCTCTTACAGACGTAGTTCTGCCTTCTGCCATTCTTCATTTCTACTCTGCAACAACACTACAATTAACATATGCATCGATATGTTCTTTGGATTTCAATTGTTCCTCTTGATACTTCATTTAGAATATTCGCTCTACATACAATTCATTTTGTAATTGACTGCAGAATAAGTTTCACTTGAAAATCATTCATCTTTCAATTGTCAACAAGATCCAGTCTACTGGATGGTTTACAAAATAGTGTGGTAAAAGGAAATCGCTTTTACAATCGACAACATAATGTGAATGATCATGGTTGGGATGGTGGAGTATTAGTTTATGTTAATCGAACAAAGGCAGTAACATTACAAGGAAATCGAGCATGGTGTTTAGGGAGTGCTCATAAAAGACGTTTACAAATGATTATCTGTCTGCGCACGTTACTGGCAAAATGGATGGAGTGATTGTCGGAAGTCATTGTTAATGATGAGCTTTAAATAAATGTCATATTTATCGTATGGATGATAAGTTCACTAGTGGTCGAAAAATTCTCTCTCCATGCGCATTCGTATGAGGTTGTATTGTGTACAATAAAAAAGAATCTATGACGACAGCTCGCACTATGTGAGTTTACCATCAGGGATGTGAAGAATGTTTATGTGCACAATAAATTTCTGCCCAAAGTAAGTTTCCTACACTGCGAACGAAATTCAAGTCGCTCAATTCGAAAAATTCTCTTTAGGTTCATCATTTAACTTCGCTGTGTTTACGAAGAATGTAAATACATATTACTCTATGTATACCAACATTTCGAATGATAGATGAATCTAATACTTGTCCTAGCGGTGACGACAATCGTATGAATTTGTTCGATCTCATCTATTCTTAATTGACTTTAGCAATTTTTGATCACATGTTGCACTTAAACAACATGATTTCTCTCCAATTATATTGATCGATAACAAGCATTATACAGATGAACCTGAATGTAAAAATTGGCCTTCTAATAATATCTTTACCGATTACGACGGACTTTGGAACTGTTCAAATGGTTTAGATGAACTGAATTGTCGACCATCGAAATGTCCGTATTTATATATCATCCGTGTGTATCACCAAAAACGCTAAAACATGGTTGTTTACCTATCAGTGAAGCAGGCAACGGTAGTGTTAATTGTTTAAGAGGAACTGATGAATTCAAATCTTGTCAACGTGGATCAACAAGTGCAGAATTTTTTCGTTGTAGGAACATTCTTTCGTTTATATATTTAAGAGGACAGATGTTATGTGATAAAAAGAGAGATTGTTTACTTGGTGATGATGAAAAATTTTTCATCAACATTATTTAACAGAAATGAACCGTTTATGTGGAACTATCCATAATTTTACTTTAGCTATCAGATGAAGAAGATTTCTTTGTAGTTTTCACAATGCATTACGATGAACAAAAACATATTTTACAATCAGTAATTTCACTGATTATCAAATCTTGGAATCCGAAAAATCCATTTCGATTGAAAATATATACAATCAACATATGAACGCGCATTACCTATGCGTATATTTAATCAAAGTAAAATTCAATATCTTTCTCCTCCTGCTTATTATGAAAAAAGTTGTGAATATCGAAATCAACAAATTCGTACAATTGTATTTCTATTAATCAATAATCAATAATCAAGATGAAACAATTGAATCATTTCAATACAAGATTGTGAAATCAAATATCATGTGAATCTTTTATATTTCAAATTCGACGTATCAAATATTATCCAATAATTTGCCAAAATCATTCGAATTTTTTTTTCATGACGAAACTTATCTCTGTTATTCTTATAATAATGGAACACCAAATTGTTTAGTTTTTCAACATAATATGACATATAATTGTCAGGGACTTAATTATTGTGGATATTTCGGTAAATGTTGTCAACAATGTTTCTATGGTCGTCAATATCAATATTTTATCGAAAGGTTTTGGTTTTTCATTAGATCTTATTCTTGATCCACATATTCGACGTAATAGTTCTTCATATTTTGTTTCAACCAAGTCTCATTATTGTTTCCATATTAACTATTCTTGGTTTTCTCTCTTTTCAAAATGAAAAATCTCGTCAAACAGCTTCGGGATTTTATTTCTTTAATTGCATCAACCTTCGTAACGATTCTTTTCTTACAATGTTTATTAATTGATTTTTGTTTCATGAATTTCTTTAAATATGAAACTCTGGTTAAATGCTTGTGTATCATTTGAACGAATTATTATTATCATCAAAGGTACTTATTTTGACAATAAAAAAAGTAGACACATCGCTAATATAACAGTTCAAATTCTTCTGTTAATTTATGTCAGAGCAACGATTCATGATTCTCTTTCTCGACGTTTGGTTGACGATGATGATGATGGAAAAGATAAACGTATTTTATACACAGTAGAATATTCTTCATTATTAGAAATATTTATTTCATTTTCTGACTCAATCTATGATTAATATTATATCAGCATTGATTATTATTATCGAATCATCTCAACAAGAAACTTTTTCTCGTTATTATCAAAATAATATCCGCAAACAATTCAATGAACACAAACATTTACTTTTTAGTACTTTAGTTCTTATTATTTTATCATTATCACAATTGATTATTTCATTACAACTCCTGGTTATATGAAATCATTTCGAGAACCATGGCTCTTGTTAATGGGTTATTTTCTCTCGTTTTTTCCTGCTTTCGTATCATCCGTAGCATTTGTTCTGCCTTCATAAACGTACAAAAAAATTTCTTTACGTGTTGGTATTTACGCGATTATTTCGTAGAACAAACTAATCTATTTCGTCACGCTATCATGTTAAGTACTAAGTAAATATTCGAATATTGACCATTTGGATTCGTCTAAACCAGTGTCCTGTGGGAACGAACTTTTTTCCAATATCCCCATTTCCATAGGAATTCTCATTTGCATTTAAAGAATGAAAATAGACGATCTCTGAATTTTGTTTGTTATTTTAATATATATAACTATTTCTAGCATTGTCTTGAAAGACAATTTCCACTTTGTCTTAATTGTTATAGAAGCATTTTACATCGTTCTCGATAATATTCAAACACATGAATCTGTTCCGAAATCGAATATCAGCTTGAATATGTCATGCGGTTTCCAAGTTTGCCAGCAATAAAGATGTCTTATGGATAATTTTCATCGGCACTCGTTTATTTGACGTGAACGAATTCTTTTCTTCTCGTTCATAAATGAATATCTAGAAAAAAATCATTTCCCATTAGTCATCTTTCTACAAATTGGCTCGTCAATGACATATGCTTTAACGACCTCATATCTCTATCAACCGTTCCAGTCGTTTACTTCCCATCATTAATAAACAAACCATCATTTCTCATCAGCTGTTATTCAAATCTTACTCTCATTTTCTTCATTTTATATCCGAAAATGCTTAGCTCATTTTTCTCGAGAAACCATTTGATGATACTTTATATGGTTGATAATTTCGAAGAAGAGAAAAAAGCTCCTTGAAGTTTTCTCAAGAAGATTGAGCCGCACAATAAAGTGTAGTTTCTGCTTTTCTTTAAATTATTTAATAAAATTACTCACTTTCGGAAATTCAGCGGAAAATAAACTAAATGAAGGATAATCGAGTATTTATCAGGAAGCAGAGTACATTCTAACAACCAATCTTATAAAAATCTCTTTTTCTGGAGATTTTAGTAAGAGTCTGAACGCTGTTGGATGCAATCAACCTTATCTCCGTGTCCGTGGTGAGATTCAGTCTTAACGCATTTAAGTACTTGTCTAGAATCATCAATCTGGGACACAAAATAGGGAATATTTTAATTGTATCTATCGATCGATTATCGATTGAACACATCATTCTTTCTTTATTCTTGATTTTCCTCTTGGTAAAGTTGCTTAACCGGCTTACTTCTCGGTAATTTCCATGTGTTTACTTTTATTCTGATGCTGAATGCACCTAAGCAAGTGTATATGTTCAATTGTGTAATGCGACACCCTCTTCGTTATTGGTCTTTCACGAAGAAGAGAAAAGATAAATTTCAACATGGGTCAGAAGTGAATGTATGTCTATATGAATCTAGCTAAGGCCTGGGCGTGACTTCTACATAAGAACGAAAAAAAAATATCGAAATATTCTTCTTAAATGAAGTGTATTTTCACAACTATAGACGTCGTTTCTGTCCGACGAAATAGTATGTTATCCAGCAAAGAAAAATAATCCATCTATTTCTCGATCATTTACATCACTTATCCTCTCTGCTATAGTCGACCTTCTGCATGAAAGTTTCATTCTTCTTTACTTGAACAATTTTTTAAAACGAAGTCAGTTTTTTCACTGTCGTTTGCATTTCTTAACTTATTTTCTTATTTTTCTATTTTAGGTAAAATATGTCCGAATTGATTCGACAATCCACATTAAATCCGATCGCTGAGAAAAAACGAAAACTTCANTTTCAACTGAAACTGTTTGTTGATGTAAGAGATGATTAATTAGCTCACCGTTGCTACTAGATGCTTTAGTTTTCAAATGAATGTCTTTCACTTAGAAAATCTTTCACAAAACCGAACAACTCGAGAAAATGTGAGGATTACTTCTCTGTGATCTTTACCTCGCATGACTGAATAGCATTCGATATTTGTTTCAAATTATGAATATCTGGTGCAAATTGGTTTCCATGACTATCGAAAAACAATTTGGAAGAAGGTTTCATTAGTAGATGATCGAATTGTTTCTTCATATCTCAGTAGATTCTCAAAAACTTTGAATTCATAGTTACTGACAAGATATTCATCGTTTTTGGCATTTGTGCCGAAAGAAATTAATAAATATGACACGGTATCGCCTTCTCACTGATGATCACTTCTATTGACACAAGTCATTTAGGATAAGAATATCGAAGAGACATTCGAGAGTCATTTTCTATTTTTCTTTCTCTTTCTAGTTGATAAAACGACGTGTAACTTTATCTTTTGTTGAAATGGAAGATGGACGCTCTCTTCACTCATGCTTTCATCTAATATACAGAGAACACCTATTAGAAATATTTATCTCATTTTCTGACTCAATCTATGATTAATATTATATCAGCATTAATTATTATTATCGAATTATCCCAACAAGAAAGTTTTTCTGGCTATTATCAAAATAATATCCGCAAACAATTCAATGAACACAAAGCATTTACTTTTTAGTACTTTAGTTCTTATTATTTTACCATTATCACCATTGATTATATCATTACAACTCCTGGTTATATGAAATCATTTCGAGAACCATGGCTCTTGTTAATGGGTTATTTTCCCTCGTTTTTTCCTGCTTTCGTATCATCCGTAACATTTGTTCTGCCTTCATAAACGTACAAAAAATTTTCTTTACGTGTTGGTATTTAAGCGATTATTTCGTAGAACAAACTAATCCATTTCGTCACGCTATCATGTCAAGTACTAAGTAAATATTCGAATATTGACCATTTGGATTCGTCTAAACCAGTGTTCTGTGGGAACGAACTTTTTTCCAACATTGCCATTTCCATAGGAATTCTCATTTACATTCAAAGAATGAAAATAGACGATCTCTGAATTTTGTTTGTTATTTTAATATATATAACTATTTCTAGCATTGTCTCAAAAGACAATTTCCACTTTGTCTTAATTGTTGTAGAAGCTCTTTACATCGTTCTCGATAATATTCAAACACATGAATCTGTTCCGAAATCGAATATCAGCTTGAATATGTCACGTGGTTTCCAAGTTTGCTAGCAATAAAGATGTCTTATGGATAATTTTCATCGGCACTCGTTTATTTGACGTGAACCAATTCTTTTCTTCTCGTTCATAAATGAATATCTAGAAAAAAATCATTTCCCATTAGTCATCTTTCTTCAAGTTGGCTCGTCAATGACATATGCTTTAACGACCTCATATCTCTATCAACCGTTCCAGTCGTTTACTTCCCATCATTAATAAACAAACCATCATTTCTCATCAGCAGTTATTCAAATCTTACTCTCATTTTCTTCATTTTATATCCGAAAATGCTTAGCTCATTTTTCTCAAGAAACCATTTGATGATACTTTATATGGTTGATAATTTCGAAGAAGAGAAAAAGGCTCCTTGAACTTTTCTCAAGAAGATTGAACCGCACAATAAAGTGTGGTTTCTGCTTTTCTTTAAATTATCTAATAAAACTACTCACGTTTGGAAATTCAGCGGAAAATAAACTAAATGAAGGATAATCGAGTACTTCTCAGGAAGCAAAGTACATTCTAACAACCAATCTCATGAAAATCTCTTTTTCTGGAGATTGTAGTAAGAGTCTGAACGCTGTTGGATGCAATCAACCTTATCTCCGTGTCCGTGGTGAGATTCAGTCTTAACGCATTTAAGTACTTGTCTAGAATCATCAATCTGGGACACAAAATAGGGAATATTTTAATTGTATCTATCGATCGATTATCGATTGAACACATCATTCTTTCTTTATTCTTGATTTTCCTCTTGGTAAAGTTGCTTAAACGCCTTACTTCTTGGTAATTTCTATATGTTTAATTTTATTCTAACGCTGAATGCACCTAAGCAAGTATATATGTTCAATAGTGGAATGCGACACCCTCTTCGTTATTGGTCTTTCACGAAGAAGAAGAGAAAAGATAAATTTCAACATGGGTCAGAAGTGAATGTATGCCTATATGAATCTATCTAAGGCCTGGGCGTGACTTCTCCATAAGAACGAAAAAAATATCGAAATATTCTTCTTAAATGAAGTGTATTTTCACAGCTATAGACGTCGTTTCTGTCCGACGAAATAGTATGTTATCCAGCAAAGAAAAATAATCCATCTATTTCTCGATCATTTACATCACTTATCCTCTCTGCTATAGTCGACCTTCTGCATGAAAGTTTCATTCTTCTTTACTTGAACAATTTTTTAAAACGAAGTCAGTTTTTTCACTGTCGTTTGCATTTGTTAACTTATTTTCTTATTTTTCTATTCTAGGTAAAATATGTCCGAATTGATTCGACAATCCACATTAAATCCGATCGTTGAGAAAAAAACGAAAACTTCACCATGGTGAGATTGAGTTTCACTCGTTCCCTGGTCGATCATTCCGGCGACTGGATCCGTTGAAACCTTAGTCGGTTCCGGCACAGTTTTCGCCGATTCCAGCAAGTTCCGGCAGGTTTCTTGCCGCCGGATTCCGGCCGGAACCGACCGTGCCGTAATAACCTAGGCTTGTAGTATTTGTTTGTTTATTATTCAAGGTGATATTCATGGTGAACTTGAACAAATCAGTCCGATTCGACTCACGAATGGAAAAAAGCGAAAAAGAGATACGATGAGAAGAAGAAATTGCCCACACTGTTCCAATTGATTATCGTCAAACAATTATTTCCGCTTTCTTCTCCGTCTAAAAATGAAATAGTCCGTACATTGTGTGAACGAGAACGGTGTATTTATATAAGGATATAGTGCATACTGAAACAGACCAATGTCATTTTCATCCTCAGCATCGAACGAGAATAGCGATAGCCATGACGATGTGTGGCTTACTAACGAATCGAGCATGGCACGCATTGAGAGAAGGTCGAGTCAGAAAAATGTAGGTTGAAATAACAAAATTAAATATTTCTAAGTGAAATTTGTTTAGGTTGATGAACACCATATTTTGAAACATCATGTGGAGAAGCAGTGTGCTGAAATCGATGATAGAAATCAACTGCAATCCGGCAAAATAGGTACTATGACGGTTTTAATGGAGAACCAAAATCGTAAACAGAAAAGAATCATGTCAAAGCTTGACGCTACTACCAACACCGTAGAAGACGTATCTGATGAATTAAAAATCATGAAGCAATCTCTTGGCGAGCTTCGACGAGAAGTTGAAGATTATCAACGTAGAATTGAAGACTATCAACGTAGAAATGAAGTTTTCCAAGGGCAAGTTTTGACGACACTGGAAAGTATGAAACCAAAAGCTGATTAACCGTCTCAATAGTCAAGATAAAATCAGCTCAACAATTCCATTGTTATTTAGTCGATCGACAGTGATCATCGATTTATGGTTTTTTTTTGTTTGACAGTTGTATTAAATTAGTTGAATGAAAAATGTGTTTATTCGAATAATTCGTCTTGTTTTCAACAGACAGTTTAAATAAAAACAACAGAAACGATAACAAATTTTGCATAAAAAATGAAAGAAAATCTTTCCAAACCATTTCTATACTAGACTGGATTTATTTCATCATCAACCAAGATGGCTCTTTATCGATGAGTGTTATCGACGAACGCATTTGTGATCATGTTTGAATGTGAATATGACAAGCATTTTGCGAATGAAATTGGTTAGATTTGAATTGTCATGCTTCAATGAAAGGTTCGATTAAATTAAATATAAAAAAATAGGAAGTGTAATTTCTTGCGCAAAGGAAACGCTGCTGAAATTAGACATTCGCAATATTGACATATCTATGTTTGAACTAATCGCGCTTGTTGATCAAGAAGCACAAGCCGATTTTGATTGTACCAATTGACGATGTTCATGTAGTAATGACATTCGAGTTGAAAAAGAAGAACAATTAAATATACATTTTCAGACTTTTGTTCTCTTACGGATGATTCTATATTCTTCTATAACGCGAATAGATTTATTCGAATTCCGTGTCACATTGATCTTAGTCTCATACTAGCAAGATTTCTGGAAGATAGTTTTTACTATGATTTAAACGATGATTTACATAATCAAGCGTCTATGACCAAATGGCTGAATCATTTGCCATTTCTTCTATATAATATCACATTTTGTAATGCGATCATCGTCTCTACATACACTTTGATTTGACAAATTGACGACTTTTCATAAACTTGTGATTTCATGCATTATATGTGACAGTACATAATTTTCTCTTAAATCTCGTTGGAATTAAAAATATCAATGTCAGTATTCAACAGATCTGGGTTTGATTGAACGTTGGATTTTTCAGTAAATCAAAGATAAATAATCCTTGATCTCGCTTGCTGATAAAGCACAGAATCAACATTGATTGTAGATCCTCTCGATTTTCCGCCATTTGAATCAGTATGATTCCAACAGGTGTAGAGAATGTTTTATCGTACCGAAAAATCATATATGCCAAAGAACGAAAAGTATTTCTTTCCTCATTGTTCAGCTGAATTCTCTGATCAGTGACAACAGTTAAAATATGATGCAGATCGAGAGCATTTTGTTTTATATCAAGTTCCTCTCGACAAGACATCCGTTTTTGGATAATATCGATTAAGATTTCGTGCGATTTCGAAAGTGAACGAATTCAACGATGTACAGGTATCCTTGACTTAGTCCATGTTAAACTTGTCACACCAGATTTTGTCTCTTCGTCTACCTGTATATTTTTGTAATCCTATTAAAATTAATTAATTCTGCGACGAATTATCCGTCCACGATTTGTTCGTAGAAAATGATGGTGTACACATGATACCGGATGGGTTACAAAATAGTGTGGTAAAAGGAAATCGTTTTTACAATGGACAACATAATGTGAATGATCATGGCTGGGATGGTGGAGTATTAGTTTATGTTAATCGAACAAAGGCAGTAACATTACAAGGAAACCGAGCATGATGTTTAGGTAGTGCTCATAAAAGACGTTTACAAATGATTATCTGCCTGCGCACGTTATTGGCAAAATGGATGGAGTCATTGTTAATGATAAATACTTCTTATTCTTCTTCTTCACTCATACGATAAGTTGGTTTCGAAATAAGATTTATAACCATTGTATTAACGTGTTCATTATTGATAAGAAAACGCTTTTTCTTTCTTACTCTTTGCATACTCACATCTGATTATAAGAAAGGATCAGCAGAGAGATGAAATGACTTTATAACGACAGCCTGTTCTATGCGAATTGATAAATGAAGAATTTTTTTATGGTCAGCGTGATTTTCTTATATGTTAGACAATACTCAAATCAATCCATTTGGGATATTTTTTAGGCTTTTATCTGATTTCTTCCATGTGTGCAAAAAATGTTGGTAATGCTCAAATAATGAATATCAGCTATATGTGTTTGATGTAAGAATGACAAATCAATGCTTCTCAAACAGAGAGATCTCGTTTTGTTTCATACAGTCGCAACAGTGATGACGTGGACTTGAAATTACAGAATAAAAATGTTTATGTTTACTTTGCAAGTTGAAAAACCACCAAACAGAAAACTTAACACATCGAATTCTTCTTCGGTTCACCTAATCCAAAACATTTTCGAATTCGCTTGCAGCTTTCAACGCGTTTCTTTTGCTTAGCAGCTCCTGATCCACCATTACATTCTAATTTTCCATCGATAATTCGAGTAGTCGCTGCGAAATCACCTTGTTTAGAAGGGACATCCATTTTATTTGTCTTGTAAAACCAGATGGCTGTTTTGACAGCGAGAGCCTGCTGTTTTTCAATTAGATCTGGATTACTCAATAAGTCGACACCAAGAGATCTACTAGCAGCATGGTAGTTACAAGGCCATGACAATTGAAACCAACCTCGACCATAATACAATTTATTGGGTTTGCCCTTAATTGAGCACCACGATCCAGCATAGTTCGTACCGCAACCTGGTGCGCAATATTCTCGCACAGTTTTCAGTCCATCAGTTTCGTGAAAGACATGCGCAAGAAACACGGCTGCTTCATCGTTATTCGATGCTTTCCAGCCCGATTTCTTCAGGCCATCGAAACGGCTTGTTCTTACTGCGGCACTGATAGTATTGAATACGCAGGCAAATTTTTGTTCAGTAATAATCTCTTGTCCGTAGCTGTAACCAATAGCATATGCGATGAAAGCCAACAAGCAGGCAAGTGTCAGTGGCATTCTTGTGATTGCTTAGATGTATATAATAAAGTGATCAATAACAGCGAATGTATATTTATAGGGACGGGATTTTCATTCTTTTCTCTCTATTCGTGAAAATATCAAGCCTAGTCAGAAACCATCTATAGAGCCCACACAATAACATCGATATCATGTACCATGCCATCGAAATATCGATCCGTAGGAGTGTCATATCGTGGGATTATTTTTAGCAGTGGCATATTTAATTTCAAAAACAGACTACAGTAGGAGATGCTTTCTTATTGAAAACCGAAGTCAGCAGCAGCTTAAGTATTATTGGGTTGTAAGAAAGTTTTTGCGTTTTTTCTCAGATTTTCATTGTATTTTTCTTCTTTATCAACAAGAACTAGTTCTCATCTATGTATGCACCCTTTGTTTCTATAACTTGACGCCAACGGTCTGGAAGACAAAGGATCCCCTGCGCATAGAAGTCCCGGGACTTTCATTCGTAAAAAGTTGTGAGAGCGGATTTTAGGGCGTTCTCGCTCAAGTAGTTGGGCAGAGAGCGAAACAAATGATAGTTAGTGGGAGCCAAGTCCGGCCAATGAGATGGGTGGGGTATGGTAATCCAGCCGAACTGCAATAACCTTCCACGAGTCAACTTTGCCACATGTGGTCTCGCATTGTTGTGCAGGAAGTAAATTCGATCTTGTTTTCCCTTGAGTCTTTGGGCAACATAATCTAGTTGTTCACAATAGAGATCAGCTGTTATTGTATAACCATTAGGAAGAAGTTCCCAATGGATGATTTCTCGCATGTCCCACCAGACATTCAACATCACTTTTATGGGATGGCATGTCCGTTCTAGGTGTTGCCACTTCAGTGACAAGATTGCGCAGGCATTGATGATTACAATGAGATGTGATTAAATCCACACCCCATATTTCCAGCTCTTCCCAAGATCAGCCAAATGTTTTTCTACCGTGATATGGGAGCACCCGAGCAGCGCTGCTAAAACACGTGTCGTCAGTCGCGAATCTTGTTCGATGTGCTGCTTCAGTTGCTTTATGCCTCAATCGAAATTCATAGGACAAAATGATTCGAATCTCTCTACGAGAGATATCAGTATTTTCGTTCGAACGTCATTCACCCTTCCTATATATATATATATATATCCTTGGTATCGAAGCTTCGAGAACTTTCTTACTAACTCAATACCATCTGGAGTGTTTCTCAGTATCTTGGGAGTATTTTTATCGATGCGAAAATAGTTGAAATATATCACACGTTGGTTTACACGTAATTAGCTATTTAACAAGGTAAATCCTCGTTTCGCCGAAAAGTAATGCGAAGATACGATAACGATCAAAGTACAATAGAGAGTGGATGAAGGTGTTTTCAACGAAACGAGAACTATCTTACGTATGAAAGTTAAAGAAAAACGAAGTGGAAATAAAATACAGTTAATTTTTTTAATAGTTTGATCAAATAAATACGTATATTGATCTATTTTGCTCCATTTATGTGGAAGTTAAATAAGTAAAATTACTATTGTAGACCCTGTAGCATAATCCTCTTACTTATGAACGTATATCTTAATTAAACTGTCATTATTGAAGGGTAAAAAAATGTCTCGTAAGATAAATTTAGATTGACGTCTTTATCGTTACTAAAAGCTAAGAAATAAAATCAAATGTTCATCTGTATGCGATTGTGTTACTTTCCAGGTCAACAAATCCGACGCTGGATCCGAGTATGGGATTGTTCTTTTTCATAATTTATTACATTGTCAAAACCAAAAACTTTTTACGATAATACTACGAAAAGTAATAATCTATCGATGAATCACCGTTTGAATGTTTTGCATGCGATTCATCATCATTTGATCTGGTGCAACAGCAGATCTGTTGCGCCAAAAATAAAATGCATTTTTTATTTTTGTTCGTAAATCAGGTAATGATCCAACACAGACAAATGGAGTAAATAATATTATTCCATTGTCAAAAAATAAACTATCAAAATAATAATCACTTGCTATAGATCTTGATAAGCCAAATGAATAAAGAGTGTATAATGTTAGTGGAGGAAGATGTAAAAAAAGATATAGAGCAGATATTGATAATGTTTGACTTGCTAATCGTTTGTAATTTCTCCAATCAATTCTTTGACGAATGATAAATCTTTGATATAGTACACGTATAAGTAATACTATATTGAATATTACAATAATATATGCTGGAATTGTATTATGTAAAATACTATCCCAAAGAGCTAACCATGGTGTGTCAATAATACAAAAATAACGAAGACAAAATTCGAATCGATAAATAAATGGTCGATTACAAGGATGAACTAAAACACAAATATATAAAATGTTCCAGGCC